CCATGTATCAGTCAGGGCAGATGCGTGTGTGCGCTCAGGCCACTCGGCCTCAAGAAGATGCCAGATTACTTGGTCATTGTCATGTCTACACCGGGAGCACCACAGCTGTGTTGGCTGCCTGTTTTGCGGTCTTTCGTATCTTGTCAGACTGCACTTGGAATTAAAGGGCACATTCATTCACCATTCACGATCAGGTCGAGCCCGACGTTTCCACATACTGCCTCCACCGGCATCAGTGCAGGGCCTTGTGATTGCGAGAGTGTGCCCGGCGTCCCCGAAGAAACCCACCTGTGGAGGACTTTAATCCTTTTGCACCACCACAGTGGGTGGACAGACGTTATGGAGCAGATCCTGGAACACTCAAGTGGCTCAGAAGTCCCTACCCTGAGGAACAGGGCCTGGAGGGCAACCAGGGTCCACAGCCACACACTGCTGGCCAGGCCAGGGAATGGGACAAAGCGGACGCCCCGCTGCCCATTCCTCCTCCTGCCCTGCTGTTTGTGTTTCAACAAACACACAACCCAGCCACACTGGCCCTGTTGCGTGTCCAGCTCTATGGCTTTGGGGCCTCGGCTCAGCCTGAAGCACAACCCAACATTGCCTCCTCTCTTGTGCTGTAACCCACGCAGTCTCCTGGACCTCTGACAACCTGGCCCCCTAGACCTCTGCTGGGACTGTGACTGGCTCCTTCCCTGTCTTCAAACCTCTCTGGCTGCTGGGAGAGGTCATCTCCATGCACTGGGGCCCACTGAGGCCTTCAGGATCTTCCATCCTTGAGCACCCATTGCACCCATATATTTTTGGCCATGACCCACCTCCCCACACAAGCCACAGGCTCTGTGGTTGAAGAGACTTGCCCAGTCAGCAAGAAGGCTGGGCCATGGGATCCACCAGGTGCTTTCCCCCAGGAGGGGAACCCTAGGTGAGTCCACGGGAGAGTTCTGTCAAACATACAAGGAACGATAACGCAGTCTTGCACACACTCTGTCAAGGAACAGAGAAAGGAAACCTCCCCAACTCATTCTGCAGGGCCAGTCTAACCTTGACTCCAAAGTCACTGCAGTCATCACCAGAAAGGAGAGCCACAGATTACTGTACCTCGAGAGCATGGACCCAAAGTCCTTCGCCAAGCGAGTGTCAGGAAAGGGACTCTGGAAGTATACAGGACTTATACAGCATCACTCCGTAGGATTTGTCTCAAGAAGGTCAGGGTTGCTCAGCATATGAAAACCATCAGATGTAACATATCCTGTCAAAGGAATGAAAGACCAGGTCCACAAGATTGTTCAAAGGATGAAGAAACCCCTGGACAAACCCTGACATTCATTCTCTGCAGACTTACCGCAGCAGAGAATTTCCTCAGTAGGATTACAGGCTTCTGGAAAACCCCACAGTTAATACCACACATACTAGCAAGTGAGAGCTTAACCCCACGATGGGCCAAGGCAAGGAACAGCTGTCTTCCCTCCCCTGCCCAGCACTGCATTGCCATCTAGACAGTGCCCCAAGATAAAACCTACAGAGACTTATGCCTTTTTCACAGATCAAAAGATTCAGGATTAGTAAAGCTCAGTTTTCTGGATTCAATGCAATCTCAACTGCAACCTCACCAAGCTTTTGAAATGGGAATGGATGAGCTGACTCCAAACTGTGCGTGACAAGGCAAAGGTACTAGAATGACAAACAGACTTGACAAAGAAGAGAACTCCGAAGGGCACAAACCAAAACTCCAAAATAAAGCAGAACATTCTGTGATCAAGACAGGGTAGCATTTGTGTAGAGAGGGGTTAAACTAATCTGCAGAACCAAGTACAGCACCCCAAAATAGACACATTTTTGTAGAGTCTGTTGGTTCTTAACTCTGTGGCCAAAGCATCTCAGTTGGGAAAGAACAGGCCTTTTAGCAAATGCTGCTGGAACAATTAGATCTCCGTGGAGAAAAGGAAATTTGACTTTCATGTCATACAGTAATCAAAACTCATTTGAATACGTACACAGACTTACACTTAAACACTAAATCATAGAAGTTCTAGAAGGAAACAGGGAATATTGCTATGACCTGGGGGTGGACAGACATTTTATGGGCAAGAGGGGAAAGCGGTAACTATTAAACTGAAAAGTAGGCAGGCTCATCAAAATTAGATATGTTCCTTATTAAAAGATACCAGTCAGGGCTGTGCATATAGCTCAGTGGTGTCAGCGCCTGCCTCACAAGCACAAGGTCCCCAGTTTGATCCCCTTCAGGATGGATACCAGTTCAATACCAGTCAGGAAATGACCAGAAACTGGGAGAAACTATTTATAAAACACCCACCAGATAAAGGACACATATCCAGAATACATACAGGGTTAGTGCAACTCAGTAAAGTGACACACAACTGAACTAACAAAAAAGCAAGTGAAAAGTCCATGAATTAGTGCACTCAAGGTAAAGTATTTAATCCCTGGCCTCAGGGTGCAGCTGCAAACCACAGAGACAGAAGCAGATGCCAGTGGATAGATGGACATTCCAAACTCAGCGACACTTGCTTCATGGGAAGCCTGTGTCTGACATGGCAGCAGGAATGCAAAACCCTGACACTGGAAAACAGGTGGAACTTGGGGCCTCTTAAGCATTTACCCCAAAGAAATACAAATACACATCTACGGAAGATCTATACAAAGGTGTTTTATAGCAGCTTTCTTCATATTAATTAAGAGCCAAGCTACAGATATTTATTGTCAGAAAGATAGAGGTGAGCAGACAGGGCTCAACCATCAATGGGTCCTTGCTGCTGGCAATAAACAGCAAGAAGACGCAAAGACACAAAACTATTTCTCCTCACAGACAGGTCCCTGGGCCAGGGATTTAGCTGAGTGGTTCCGCCGCCTGCCTTGCAAGCACAAGGACCTGAGTTTGATCCCTGGCACCAAAAAAAAAAAAAAAAAAGACAGGTCCTTGCTGCCCACGACGGACAAGAGCAGCACCTGTGACTCCAAGAGGACAGGAACTTGGGGAGCCTGGTGGGGAGGTCTCCATGGGAGGCACAAGGAATTTCCCTGGACGATGAAAATGTTTCTTGGTGCAGGTAGAGTTTTGGGGTTCACATACCTGGGAAAGGTATGGAGATTCGCACCTGAGATTGTGTGCTTCTCTGTCATTGTTATCTGCAGATAAAAAGAGCCCTGAGCAGGTGCTGGCCTTCAGTTCCAAGGTCTGCTGCCTCCCAGTGTTGGGGTAGAGGAATCTAGAGCCACCTCCTGTGCTCTGGCTGGTGGAAATGCTGAAGGAATCCAGCATCCCAGGACAGAGGGATCAGTGAGACTGCCCGAACTCACTCCCAAGAATTCTCCAAGGGGAATCTGGCTTCTCCTGTCCAATCTCCAGGTCTCCTCAGCTTCCAGAATGTTCCTCGACCCCTCCAGAGGAAGGGACCTTCTGCAAGGAATGGACAGGGACATGGTCCACTGGCTGGAGTCTGGTTGGGGCTTCTCGGGTGCCCAGGGATCCAGAGGGCCCAACGTCTCCCGTGCAAGGACCTTGCTCAGGTGGGACTTCCCACCTTCTTCCATCAACATCCGGGTCCCCAGACTGTGTAGGAGCCAGCTGAAAACAGGCAGTGTCTGCCTGGTGTCAGGTGGAGGACAGACCTGAGTTTGGAAGAATTAGAACCACACTCCCCCAAGGCAGGCTCAGGTGGGCAGATGCAAAGTCCTGACAACAGCTGAACTGGTTCGTGAGAGAGGGCACTGGCTGTGGCTTCCACCCAGCCCGACCCTCTTGTGAGACCAGGCCAGGTGGTGTGGACTGGTGGGCCACACTGTAGGCCGGGCTGGTGTGTCCTGTCTCAGCTCAGCACCCTTGCTGTGCTGTGAAGACGCTGCTCTCCGAAAACACACTGATCCGGACGTCAGTGCCTCCTGTTTGGGAACTGCTGCCAGGAGGGGTCTGGACCTGCCTTCTCCTGAGGGGCAGGACAGGGGTGGGGCGGCAGGGGGCTGAGAGGTCTCGGGGGTCTTGGGAAGGTGGAGGAGCCCAGTGAGTCGGCACAGAGCTCGCCTTGTGGAGACCCTGACCTCCTGCTCCACCCAGCCTGGGCCTCTACTCCACACCGCGCCCCGCATCTGGTCCTGGACGCTGTCTCCGACGACAGCACAGCCTCTGTCTCTTGCCCCTCCTGGAAGCGTCCCCTCGTGGCAGGGGCCTCACCTGCCTGGGTCGCTCCTGCACCCCCACCCCAGGACAGGGCCCAGTTGCTCCTCTGCAGCCTGTTCCCTCTGCCAGGACTTCTCCCCCTGCCACCCTCCATGGCTCTGCAGCCACCCCAGCACCTCAGGACTCCTCCTGTCACTTCGCAGTGTCTCAGTGTTGCCCCATTGACCACCATCCTCTGTGACCAGGACCTTGAGGTTTCCACCCTCCTGTCTGGCCAGTGTCCAGCACAGAGTCCCACAGTGTCCCCAGCCCAAGTTTGTCCAGTCCATCCCATCTGAGCCTCAGTGCAGGTTAAAGGGGTGGGGGCTCCTGAACACCAGCCTCTCCTGAGTGCAGCACATCCTGCCAGAGCGGGTAGGTGGCCACTGCCACAGCTGAGGCTCTGGGGTTCATGTACATCTCCCTTGTGTGTGGAGACTTGGGCCACAGCAGGTCCCAGGCTGCAGCTGCCTCAGGTGGCTCAGTAGCGGATGATTCCACAGGCTGGCAGAGCTGCAGGCCCTGGCCAGGTGCAGGGAGCAGGTGCTGTGGTCCGGGAGCCAGCAGCCAGTGCATCATGGAGCTGGGATGGAGGCTTTGAAGGGCGGTGAGAGGGGAGAGAGCCTGTGTGTCCCACACCCAGGGAAGACGCCAGGCGGAGCAGACGCCAGGTGTGCGGACCTGCCATGGGCCTGGCTGGCCATGGGTCTGTCGTGAGGGCCACAGGTGTGGCATTCCCAGGGCCAGCTGGACTGTCCCACGGCGCCACCGCCTCCCACGTCAGCTCAGCCCCGTGCCTCACAGTCTGCTCTGGGAGTTCAGGCCGATGGCCAGTCTGAATGCGTCCCTCTCCTTCTTCGTAGCCACCTGCGCCCTCTGTGAGATGGCCAGGAAGGCGTCCAAGGCCCTGCTCCCGATGGGCGCCTACACCAGCTTCGCCCGGGAGGTGGCAGGTGCGGCCCAACTGGCTGCCTGCTGTCTGGAGATGAGGGTGCTGGCGGAGCTTGGGCCCTGGGCAGGAGGTGTGGGGCCCGACCTCCTGCTGACACTGCTCTTCCTGCTGTTCCTGGTGCACGGGGCCACCTTCGATGGCGCCTCCGTGAACCCCACTGTGGCCCTGCAGGAGTTCCTCCTGGCTGAGGCCACACTGCCCAACACACTGCTGAAGCTGGCAGCCCAGGCACTGGGCATGCAGGTGGCCAGCACCCTGATGCGGCGCTGCTGGGCCTGGGAGCTCAGTGACCTGCACCTGCTGCAGAACCTCACGGCTGCACACTGCAATTCCACTCTGCGCACATCCGTGCTCCAGGGCGCGCTGGTGGAGGCCACCTGTGCCTTCTTCTTCCACCTGACCCTGCTCCACCTACGGCACAGCCTCCTCGTCTACAGAGCACTGGCCATGGCTCTGCTGGTCACTGTCACAGCTTCTACAGGTGAGGCCACTTCCCCCTCTGCTGGGCCCATAGGGACCGTGGCACCGCCGTGGCTCAGGAGAAGCTGAGCTGGCAGGGTGGGCAGTAGGTTCCTGGACCCTGGGGAGGGCCCGGGCCTGGCCAGCTTTCTGTCCCCAGCTCCCAGAAGATCCACAGCTGGGTGAGGGGCGGCCGGGCAGGGAGACTGGTCTGGGGTGACAGATGGCCCCCAAGGTCTGCAGAGCTATGGGGTGGAGCTGGCTCCCTGTCCACGTGGCTGCCTGTTCTCCACAGACCCAGACCCTCCCTGTCCCTGGTTGATCCCTGTCCTTGGCACTGGCCTCCTGGCCTGTCCCCAAGACCCTAGCCACTCCCCAGCCCCCAGCTCCTGCCTTCTGTCTCTTGCAGCCCCAAGGCTGAGTCCCCTCGGTGCCCTTTCCCTGACCCGTCTCACACTCTCTGCTCTCACTGTTCGGTCTCTTCTCCTCCTCGTCTCTCACTGTGTGTATCTGTGCCTCCCCACGTCTCCCTCGAAGACCACCTCCCACTTGTGCGGTGTTGGAGGAGGGGGTTTCCTGTGTGGTCTTGTGGTCTCTCAGAGGGTGGCTTTAGCCCTGTGGCCGGCCAGCCACGGGGACCATGTGCTTCTGCCCACAGCTGGGCCCTACACTTCTGCCTTCTTCAACCCCACGCTGGCTGCATCCGTCACCTTCCACTGCTCGGGGCACAGCTTCCTGGATTACGCCCAGGTGTACTGGCTGGGCCCCCTGACAGGTGAGTGAGGGGGACCCTGGGACAACAGGTGAGGCTGACCTGGATGGTGGCTCTGGGCCAGGAACACAGGGCCTTCCGGGCCTCTGGGCCACCCTGACTCATGTGCTGGTGGGGACACAGTCCTGTGGTGCTGGTGGCTGAGCTTATCTGGCACTATGGGGCCTGTGGCAGGAGGTGAGGTGCCAGTCGGTGCTCCCGGTCCCCTCAGCAGTGTGGATAGTGGGGGAGGTGGCTTTGATGGCCTGTCCTGGTCTGGACCCCATCACAGAGGGAGGAGGCTAGGGATAGCAGGCTTTCCAGGGGAGCTGTGCAGACAGGAGGGATGGCATCCTCGGGGGCTCCACACTTTCCAGTAGCCTTGTCTGCCTGACCAGGGCTCCCTGCTGCCGCTGGTGCTGGTGGCCAAGGAGCCCTGGGGTGAGGAGCCACCCCCCAACATAGGGCTGCAGACTATGGTCCCTGGGACTGCCTGGAGCATGGAGGGGTGTCCCTCTGCTCACCAAAAACATGGCAGGGGAGTGGCAATGCAGTCCCCAGGCCAGGTGACTAGCATTAGGGATTCCAGCTCCCAGGTCCTGAGGTCAGGCCATGCCCCTCCCTGCTCCCCACAGCTTTACAGAGGGGTGAGGGACCTGGGAATTCTGGGAGCTGCTTCTGCCTGCAAGCCTCAGCACACCCAAGAAGAGGTCTCCCCAAAGACCAGTATTGGTGGTGGACGCACTCTCTGTCTGCACTCGGCACCCCTCAAGGTCTCCAGGGTCCTTGCTGCTCTGAATTCCGTGGGGCTCTGTCTATCACCCAGGTCATCTCTTTCCTGCATGCATTTCTGATTGCTGTTTCCACATCTTCCCTTTGTGGGTCTGTGCCTCCTTGTTGGTGCCCAGGCTTCCTGAGAAATGTGTGGGCAGTGACAGGCATCCTCCCATGTGGACAGCCACATTTCCTGTGCAGAGAACCCTGGTTCCCAGCCCTGTGTGGAGTTTGGCCTGGGGTCATGCTGTCTGGGGGTGGTTTCCTCTGAGTTAGGGCCCCACTCTAGGCCCTCTGTGCTCCCTCCCAGGCACCTACGCCAGTGCCACACACCCAGCGCCTCACGCTGGAAGAACTGCTCCCTCTGAGGTGGAGGGGGCGCTCCTGTCCTCCCTGCTCCTGTGGTCACAGGTGTCCCTTATCCTTTGGATGCAGATGCAGGGCTCCAATCTCTGCTGTTGTCCCCATGTCTCCGTCTTCTTACAGGAGCACGGGTGCTGCTGGCTTTGGGGTCCTCTCTGCTGCAGTGTGACTCAGCTAATCACACACAGACCCTATTTCCAGGGGGAGCACATTCAGGGGCTCTGGAAAGGACGTGGTTTGGGGGACACACTTCTTGGTAGAACCTCTATGCACTGCTATGGGCTTGCTCCTGGAGGCCCCCAGGAGCTCAGCACCCCATGCCCACACCAGAACACAGCCTGGCAGACACCCCTTTGGGGAATGTCCCCGTCCCCTAGGTCAGATGGGGGCCATGTCCATGGCAATGGGCTCAGGGCCTCTGAGCCCCTCCCACTTTCTGTCCACCCTCTGGGTTATGCACCTCCCTCCCACAGCTGCTTGGGGCTGCTGCCTGCTGGGACTTGGGGTCCTGTGGAACAGAGGGCCATTCTCCAGCTCACCCCATCTACCCAGGCACTGGGCTCCCTGATCTGTCATTCAGCTTCCAAAGCAAGTTGCTGTGGCCCCCACTGTGACCCATCTGAATGAGGTGACACCAGGGAGAGAATCCCTGTTCTACCACCCTGAAGCAGCTTCAGGAACCAGCCAGCCAGTCCCCATCCTTACCCCCAGGTTCATTTAGAATCCAACCTGAGAAATGGCAGCTCCCAGGTGCCACCCTGGTGGCTGAGATGGGGAGTGCAGCCGGCTCTGCACCTGCCCTGCTGGCCTGGTGACCTGAGCAGGTGGCCTTCTGCAGCCTGCTCCTTCTCAGAGCAGGGTAGCACCCCTCTGCCTCATGGGGGGAAGGCAGTGGTGCGTGGGCAGGCTGCAGTCACAGGGACACACTCCTCAGGTGGTGACAGAGGCAGTTCCTGGCCAGGTAGCCCAGGCTACAGGTTCAATCCTGAAGGGCAAATCTGGCCTCTTCTTTGGCCCTGGCACTGAACTTCTCAGTGACCCAGAGGCCGCATGGGAAATTGGGATTCTGGGCAGGACGTGAGGATGGGGAGCAGTCCCCTCCCCTGCTGGTCCCGGCATCACAGGCAGTCCTCAGAAGAGGCCACACAGGCTCTGCACAGGGATGGAACACATGGTAGGAACCCCAGACCTGGGTCCCTAGAGAGCTGTCCAGAGTCCGCAGGTGCCCAGCGAGCTCAGGCCCATTCCCAAGGGCATGGGGAGGAGGGGAGTAGTGGGCAGAGCTGGGCCCAGGCCCCTAGGGGGATGACCACGGGATCCAGGGTTCTGTCCAGGCCCTCTCAGGGGTGGTCCTGGTGTCCACCTGCCTGCCATGCAGCCCTGTCTCTTACAGGGATGGTCCTGGCTGTCCTGCTCCATCAGGGCCACCTTCCTCGCCTTTTCCAGAGAAACCTGCTCTACAGGCAGAAGAGCAAGTACCGGAGCCCCAGAGGGAAGCTGGCTGCAGCTCCAGTGGACACCCATATGGCCACCCAGGGGTGAGGTGGGCAGGAGCCGGGCAGAGCCCAGTGAGTCACCACCGAGGGCTGCTCCTCTGGACTATGGATCCGCTCATAGCCCAGGGGCGCCCCTGGAAACCGTGTGTCAATAAACTGCTGCCAAGACCTGCTGCGTCCCCAGGCCTGGCAAGGTTCTAGAAGGGTGTGCTGGGGAGACAGAGCCATTGTGGATGACAGTAACAGGCAGGACTGGGGGAAGCCTGAAGAACCCACCTGGGACTGCAAGTTCCCAGCGACCCTGCTGACTGCTGGACCACAACACAGTGCCCATGGTCCAGGGGCCTGGGACCCATGGAGAGGCTGGGGATGGGGTGAAGCCCGCAGCAGACATCAGGGCCCTGATGCTGACGTCTACCTCAGCCCTGACATGGCCTATGCTTCCCACAGAACAAGGCAAATCCTTGTGGGATCCCTGGGCTATAATTGCAGCACTCAGGGTGCCCACTCAGCCTTGGGGGTCCTCTAGCCACTTGCTCCCTAAACAGAGGTGATCTGGAAGTTTACCCCTGGGAGGACCATGGTTCTCCAGCTGTGGTTCCCAGAGCACTGATGGAAAAGGCAGAAATGCAGGAGATACCAGAGGGTTTCCCAGAGGGTCAAGGAGGCCCTGCCCTCCCTGCCTGCTGCCCTCCCAGCTGCTCTCCCGCCTCAAGGCCCCTCATGCCTTGCCACTAGTGTGGCTGCACTGGCTAGGGCTCCCAGCCCCTTCATTGGGGTGACAAGCCTGGGGAAGGGGTGACTAGAAGCCAGGTCCCTGAAAGACCTTGAGGTGGGCTCCTGAGGGCTCTGGTGATGCCAGGCACAGGGACAACCCAGCATGGGGAGTGGTGGGCCTGTCGGTTCCCTGGGCAGGGCTGGGGTATTCTGGGAGCTGGGGCTGGGGGAACACAGCTGCTCAGCAGCAGAGGATGAAGCCCAGGAGAGAGGCAGCCCCCACCCAGGGGATCCCCAGCCCATGTCCAGGAGGGCCCCTTTTCTTGCCCACTCTGCCCAGTCTCTTGCCCTCTGCTTACCTAGGACTCCAGTCCCTGATCCTGACCTAAAGCCTTGTGGTCAGCAGTCTGTACCCAAGGCCAGGGCTGGGCAGACCTTGTCACCCTACCCAAGCAGCAACACCCAGAATGGATAGACCAAGGCTCACTGGCCCTGACCTCTTCCTTAGCCTTGACCTGAGAGCCAGTGCCCATCCATGGTCTCAAAGTTGGCCCTGCCCATTCTGTAGTGACTGAGCCACAGTGTGGCTGTCCCGAGGCCCACATGTATCCTGGGCACCTGGTCAGAATGCAGCGAGACAGCCCCTCTGCCTGGGTGCACCCACATGCTGGCCGAGCCCCCAGCAGGCCCAGGGCTGCTACAGTTCCACCTGAACCCTGAGTGCACCAGAGGTGACCCAAGCCCCAACCCTTCCCAGCCCCAGGGCAGAGAAGGTTGACATCCTCTCCAGTATCCTAATGGTGGTCATTTGTCACCTGTAGGCCATGAAGTCACTCACTTCATGCCTGAGGATATGGGGGGCCTTGCTCAAAACTCTGCCCAGCCCCAGCAGCCATCAGCATGATAGTAGCCTCGAATTCCTATCCCGGCCTTGGGCAGGAGCAAGGCCTGTGAGCAGTGGCCTCATGTGGTCACACAGGGAGCTGAGAGGGCAGCGGGGTCAGTTTGCCTCGTGCAGACAGGCAGCAAGGAAGCCCGGTGCCTCTAGACCCTGCGCTGTTCTGCACTGTCACCTGCTCGTAATGTTTCAGGCCCACCCAACAGACCCAGCCCGGAAGAAGCCACAGCCAAGGCCTACATGTGTGCTGCATAAGAGCCACTTTTATTTCTTCACGGACAGAGCACTGAGTGCACACAGGGATACAGGAGCCTACAACTAACACTCGGTGCGAGACGTCAGGACTAGGTCATTACATGGGTGGCGTCACAACACGGGCCAGGGGTGCCCACTGCAATCATGTTATATACAAGCCAGGGGCATGGCCTCTGCCGCAGGGGCCTTTGGAATGGATGAGCTGCCGGAGGCCCAGAGCCAGGGGCAGGGAGGGACAGGGACTGTGGCTTCTAGGGTTCCAATGTGGGGCACGCACAGCCAGTGAGCCCAAGGCTGGCATCACTGAGTGGGGCCCTGGCTTCTCACCCTCCTGGGAGAATGCTGCCCAGGCTTGGGTGGGCAGCATCAGGACTCAGAACAAAAGGGCCAGGGAGAGGTGTCCTCCCGGAGCTTCCTCTCCTCCATACTTAGCAGGAAACAGTGACTGCAGAAAGACCATATGCCCCCCCACCCCATGCCACGTGATGCCAGGGTGGAATCCTGACCCCAGGGGTGCAGGTGCTGCCTCTCTAACTTCATGCATGGGGAATCTCAGGCAGGGTGGCACTTCCTGAGGGGTGGACAGCCCTCTCTCACCAGCAGCTCTGACTGGGACCTCCCAGAGCAGGGAGCTGGAAGTCCACTCTGCTCAGGTGAAACAGACCATCCCCGGCTCCATGGCTCCGGCTCCTTCCCTCCCCTGCTGCAGTGCTCTGCTGGCTGGCTGGCCTCAGGCACTGCATGCTGGCTGGGCCCAGACCCCTGCACCGCAGTTTAGGCTGGCTGACCTGTGTGGCGCAGTGGGCCTGACCCCCGTCCCAGGGCGAGCCCATCTCTCTCCCTGCCTGGAGGTGGTCATGGCACCATCATGGGAGCCTGTGAGAGTTGTGCTACCTGTCTCCGACCACCACCTTTCAGCACTGCCACTTGGCTCATGGTCAAGGGTTACTTTTGGTCTGGGTGGGCACCCTGGCCTGGGGTCTCTAAAAAGCAGCAAGTCCTGGCTTCACAGGCATGGTTTCCTGGACCTGATGTTTACAAGCAAGGTGTGGAAGCCGAGCTCCCTGCTCCCCAAGTCCCTTTTGGGCAGAGGCTGAGGGGCCTGGGGACTGCCCAAGGGAAAACCTGGGGCTGGAACTTTCCTTGTCAGTGTGGAGCAGAGGCCACACATCCCTGTCCTGTCCCCCAGGGGATGCTGTGCACACTTCCGACCATGGGGCATGGGCTTGTGTGTCTACATCTTGGGGACAGCCTGGCTCCTGGCTCACCCCATCCTGTGCATGCAGCCTGTTTGGTTTCTGTTTCCAAATGACCCCAGATGCAGAAGGAAGAGCCCCATCACGATGACAGCCAATATATGGCTGCCCTGCCTGCCCAACAGGATATCCCTCCCAAGGGACTCTTCACAGGGACCTCACAGGGCACTCCCTTGGGGCAGAGCAGAAAGCATTTGCAAGGAACCTGAGCCCTTCCGAGAGCCACCCTTTGGCACCCTTCTCACCACAGTGAGAAGCTGGGCCCTCACTCTTTTTTGTTTTTTGTTTTTTTGAGACAGGGTCTCACTACTTAGTTCAGACTGCTCTGGAACTCACTGGATAGCCCCATGCTGGTCTCGAACTTGCAGCAATCCTCCTGTCTCAGCCTCCAGTGCTGGGATTACAGGCATGCACCACCACGCCCAGCTGGGGCCCTCACTCTTAATGCCATTGTACCCTTCAGCCCTGCACCTGGCCCAGGAGCCTGGCCCCCTGGCTTGGACACTCCCATGAGGACCCCAACCTCCCTGGCCCTGCCCAGGACTGTCCCTGTGCCTGGTCTCGGACTAGCTCATCCTCAATCTACTGGAAGTGCCCTCAGTGTCCACCTTGGGATCCACCCACCAGGCTCAGGCACCTGCAGACCCCATGTGCCACAGGCCCTGTCCTCTGAGAAGCCTGGTCTGGGTAGGGGCGTCCCCTATTTCTGCCCCTGGCAGGCTGGCGGGCACAGGACAAGGGTGCGGACATCTGAATCTCACAGGGCTATGAGGCATTAGAAATAAATACTTATAAATAGTACAGAGTCTTATAGTTAATTTCTCAGTGGACTGTCTGAACATCACTAACTAACATATTAATTATAAGTCTGTCTATACTTAAAAAAATAGGAGAGCAGCAGCAGCGACTCCTGGTCTGTGCCCTCTGGCCTTTTTACACATCCCAACTCTCTCCCCAGTGGTTTTGGAAGAAGAAAAGAGCATGTGCAGCTTTGCCTGGAGCCACCACCTTCTGTGCCCAGGCCCAGCCAGAGGGGTTGTGGGGCCCAGCAGGGCGCCTCCTGGTGGGGAAGGACGGGATGGCAGATGACAGGACAGACTGGACACAGAGGGCCAGGCCGTAGGCTGGTGGAAGCGCTCTTGGCTTAGACCCGCATCTGCGCAGACCTCCTCCTGGACAGCTTGGACCTGCAAGTTGGACAGAGGCCCAGTCAGGGCCCTGCCCAGCGAGGAACCACCACAGCCCTGGAAGTCGTGTGACCAGTCCAGGGCCTGGGTCCCCAGCCTGCCACACCACCGAGCCCAGCGGGACTTTTCTACAGGATCTGACACTGAACAGCAAGGGCACAGGAAAGGCAGGAATGTCCCCAGGACCCGCCCCACAAACACTGCTCAGGAGCTGGTGCTGCACTCCCTGCCTTGGAGCTCCGGGGCCCACAACCCCTGCTGCAGGATCCCAGCAGGGACCCAGGTCATACCGTATGGTCCCCGCGAGCAGCGGGTTGAATGCATACAGCCAGTCGTGCATGTCCTTGTCGCTACTGGCCTGCAGCAGGATGCCGCGGTGCTCTGTGCACACAGCGAATGTGTTGGGCGTCTGTGAAAGGGGGCACCGGCTAGAGGCTCAGAGCTGTGTGGGAGGCTGCACGCCTGTCCCCACGCCCAGGAGCCCGTACCTTGTGTGGGAGGTTGAACTCCCCCTATCCACCCCACCCTCTCCCACCCTCAAGGAGAGCCCACACGCAGCAGGCCATGACCTCTCAGTGAGAGGCAGGAAGGCTCTTGGGTGTGACTCTGCCCACCTGCAGGGCTCACACCCCAGCTGCAGGTGTGCCAGTGGGCAAGATTGGGCTTCACTGGCCGTGGCACAGGACATTAGTCCTGGACCGTGCACCCATCACTAGGAGCTCCCACCCCAGGGACACCCCTGGCCCCAGGTCCTGGCTTCTGGGGGACAGGACTGGAGACATCAGTCCTTCGCACCTTGAGCATGGCCTGTTGGTCCTCACTGTACTCCACCTGGGCGGTGGAGAGGTTGAGCACAAACCTCTCCACGGTGTCCTTGTCACTGTTGTACATGTAGGCGTAGGGGCGCCGAACCACCACAAAGCGCTTGGCCCAGCCAGCCGTGTGTGGCTCCAGGAAGTGCAGGTAGCCCTTCTTGGACACAATCGGGCTGCAGAGGGACAGCTGCTGGCTTGAGGTCCCCAACTCGACCAGCACAGCAGTGCTGTGCACCTTGAGGTCAGGCACCCTGAAGACTCAGGAGGCCAGAGGCAGGGACCTCCCTCCTGGCCCGACTTCCCCAGTGGCCAGGGGGAGCTTAAAGAGACCAGATGCAGCCCCCAAGCTGGTTACACTGCCAAGTGACCCTGAAGCCCCGCCCTGAGCCTGCTCTGACCACCACCTGTCTTCACTTCGGCCAGTTCCCACCACAGACAGCCCTCCAGAGCCCACCTGGCCACACACGGCACTGCCCTCCGCAGGCAATGCACACTCATGCCCCGGCTCCAGCCCTCCCCATGCAGCCGGGGGTGGCAGCTGGCCCCACCTGACACGGATCTCCTGGATGTCGGGGACCAGCAGACGCTGGGGCTCCTTGTCTGTCTCTGCCACCCGGACAGGTGAGGGGGCCTTCTTGGAATCGGCCTCAGGCACCAGCTCAGGCTCCGGACTGGATGGCCGGGAGCAGGGTTGTGGGGTCCTAGGAACCGGGGAGAGGCTTCGTCCTTTCAGAGCTCCAAGGGTCTGAGGTCTGTCCACTGTGACACAGCTGGTGCTCTTGGGGATGCCCACCCACCATGCACCTGAGCCTCTGCCTGGCTCCAGACCACTGGGTGCAGTAGTGAGTGTTCCAATGGCTTGGCCCAGTCTGCTGACCATGCCAGCTGGGCAGGGCTGCGCCCTCTCCCGCCATAAAAAGGCCCCCCCAATATACCATAAAAAGGGGCCCAGCATCTCTTCCTCTCCAAGAGGAAGCACGCAAGGGCTTCCAAGGGGCGGTACACAGGGCTCTCAGGGGCTGTGGAGCAGGGCTCCCAGGCCTGTGGGAGGCCTCTCAGAATGGTGGAGTGGGTAGAAGGGCTCAATGTTTCTTTTCCTTTTAAATAAAAACTTGGAAGCCCTGAGGTTTGTGTATTTTTTCTTTTGCAGTACTGGGGACCAAACCTATGGGCATTCTACCAGAGCTACATCTTAGCCTTTTTAATTAATTGATTCTAAAATCTTGAGATAAGGTCTCACTAAGTTGTCCAGGCAGAATTTGAACTTACTCCTGCCTCAGCCTCACAAAATTCCCTGAGGCACTTAAAAGTGAGAATAAAAATGACCTGAACTCAAATTGGAAACAGGAGGCAGAAGGGCGTCCTGCTCATATATCCCACATTGCCCCGCCACCTCAAGTCCTTCCCCAGAGCAGCAGGACTTGTTCTCGTGTCCCGGCTATGCTCTTGCTCCCTAGTGTGTCTGCAGGTAACACTCTCCACTCTCTGTGCCAGTCTTGGTCATGGCCCTTGGAGCTCACCCACCTCACGTCAGGGGCACCGTAGCGCCCTTCAACCAGAGAGGGGCAGGTGGAGGACGGGGTGAGTGTGGCTGCGCCCAGAGGGGACATGGACGGGTCTCGCAGCAGGGTAACAGACATCTCTGAGAGCTGTGGGAGATAGGAAGTGCCTTCAGGGACAATCCCCAGGCCCCACCTGCATGCCACCTTCTGTGTGGGGTCCCTGCTTCCTCTTCCCTGCCCCAGGGCCCTGACCTCTCCCAGCCCAGAACGCTCTGCCATCCATCCTCGCTTTCAGAATCTGCCTTGGCCCAGGGCGATTCCAGGCACCCTGACCCCGCTGCAGTGGACAGAAAGAGCAGGTGCCATGCCAGGGGAAGGTGGCACGGGGCTGCTGGGGTCACTGGGCCTGACTGGGTACAAGGGCATCCTTCAGTTTGGATTCAAAGTGGGGAGGGAGGGGCACAAGATCTTCCCAGTCTCAGAGGGGTGAGCCTGCAGGATAAGGGCGCTGGGGACGGCGGCCACGGCAAGGGCCTGGGTGGTCCTGGAGGCCTTGGACCGCTGGTCCCTCATCTCACCCACCCTCCCGGAAACCCGGGCCTGAGGGACTAGTGGCACAGCTGCCATGACAGGTCGGTCCCTAAGCAGCCCTCACTGCCTCCTGCAGCTCATGGTCACCGCCCACCTTGCTCTCGCTGGCGCTGATGCAGACATGGCTATGCGTGTACTCCCTGTTGAACGTGTGCATGAGAAGACGCAGGCACTGCAGACAGAGCACCAGTCAGGCCTGCGCCGCCCAACCCCGACCCTGCCCTGGGCTGCGAGGCAGCTGAGTGGTAGTATCACCCGAGGTGTGGGGGCCTCCCACAGCCCTACCAGCTCAGGTATTCACAATGGGGCAAGGCCCTTCTGGGAGAGGGCCCCAAACTGATGTCCCTCAGCAGAGTGGTGGGGACAGCCGGCAAGGGGCCCCCAGGACTCTCACAGTCCCAGCTGCTGGAGGTCCTGGATGGAATGGAACAAGGTGGGGCCCTGTGAGGGTGGACGGTGGCACCACTAACCTTGACAGCCAGCTCCCGCTGCCTCTCGCTGGGAGCCTCCAGGGGTGAAGGACGGCCCTCGGCTGACAATGGGGAGGAGGCACCAGAGGAGCTGCGGGACTCCGAGTCCTCGCTGGACACTGGGGACAGCACCTCAGGCCCAGGCCGTTGGGTGGTTTCCAGCTTCTCCCTCAGAAGCAGGTAGTGCCGGGTCTTCTCCACCTAGGACGGGGAACAGGGTGGCCTTGCTGAGCCTGGGGTCCCCGGGTTGGGCTGGATGTCCACCCACCTGGGAGGGGTTGGTGGCCCTCGAAGCAAACCAGAAAGGGCTGCATGAGCACCAGGACCCAGCAGCTCCCAGCCAAGCCTGGCAGCTCCTTCGCAGCCCTGGCATTCAGGACAGCTGCCTTCCCTCGCCTGGTTCTTGAGCACCTACAGCTCTGCAGCTGGTAGCACTGGGAGGACTGAGAATGGCTCTGAGCACACATAAACTGGGCTGCATCCATGACCAAAGCACAGAGGCCCTTCCGACCTGCTCCAGGCCCTGTGGTCCCTGTCCAGATAGCCGAAGTCTTATCTGCAGGCTGAGGGTAAACCTGTCCCAAGTGGGCTGTATTTCCAAGTGCAGCTGAGCCTCATGGTGCAGTCTGAGGGGCACACATTCCATGTCCTGGGGTGGCCTCTGACTCCCTGGTAGGCACAGATACCAGCGCTGGCCCTAGTGGACTCACCTCCTGCAGGAGGCTCAGCTTCTCCAACTCCCACTGGTGATCCAGGATCAGGCTGTCGCTCCGGGGCCGCCAGCCAGCTAGGTTCTCCTCGCCGCGGACATAGGCCACAGACGTGTCCAGCACCCGCCTGCGCCGCCGCTGCATTCCTGGACGGGGACAGGGGCTCCAGCCTTCCTGACCAGCTACTCGTACTGGGCCACACCAGCCTCACCTGAAGGCTGCCCAGCCTGGAGGCACCCAGCAGGCTGTGCCCAGTAGGGCACAGGAGCCAGCCTGACCCTCCCCTTGCTGTCCTCCTGTCTGAGAACAATCCTGTACCCCAAAGGGTAGGACCCCAGCCTAGCAGCTGAGTGCAGTGGAGGCAGAGCCAACCAGCAGTCAGGCAGTAGGGAGGCCACATACCTGGGCTCCCTGCGTCGGCCACATGGCACAGGCTGAGCTCGTACACGCCTGTCACACGGTTGCTGTAGGGAGGGAGGGGGCAGGTCACCAGCCAGGCGCAGTGTGGGGCCTGGCAGGTAGAGGGATGCCAACTCTTCCCACCACACTGGGCACAGGTCTTGCTGCATACTGGTGGCCGGCATTGCTGGTGGAGTTTGGGGCCCCCATCCCCTAATAAAGGATGAGCTGGATGCCTCCTCTCAGGACCCCACAGGGCCTCAGCTTTGTCCCCACTGTGGGTAGTGCTGTGGCCCAAGCATGCTTCCCTAAATCCCCAGTGTTGGGCATCACCAGCTCTCCGCGGGCCCTGCACTCCAGGGAGGGCGTTTGGCCCCAGACTGATCCAGGCCTCTTGTGGATGGGCCTTGGCAACATCCCACACTCACTAGGCAACATCCCCAGTGACTGTGGCCAGCTCTTGGGGTCACTGAGTCCTCACCCCCACACTCCATCCTCCTAGGGAGCCCAGGGTAGGCTGGACACTGACTGCATGTGGTGACCGGGCCACCGTTGAGGGTGACCACAGAGCCTGGCAGCCCAGGCAGTCCCTCTTTACCCCTTTACCCCCTACTCCCCAGGTGCTGCTTACCCCAGGGGAGGAGTGGCCCACACCTGCCCAGCACCCCCGGGTGGGCACAGCCTTGCTCCCCACCCTGCTGATGCTGGCTTTCTGTCCAGAGACGTGGAACTATGAGCCCTGTGTGCTCCGGTGGCCCCACTGGACACCTCACCCCTGCCTGCACTGAGGCCTGGGCTCCCTGGATACAGTGCCTGAAGTGGCAGGCAAGGGCCTCTGTCCCTGCAGTCAGCATGGTGCTCACCACCGCCTAGGGCAGTGACAGGCAGCCCCCCAGGCTCACCCTTCTGTGGCCCGCAGGCTCCCACTGCCAAACAGATTGCGGATGGAGCGTGAGGCTGGCAGTTTGGCATCGCGGGAGTAGAAGACCATACAGAAGTCCTTGGTGATGACAGCTGGTTGTGTGCAGTTCTCCATCTGTGCAGCACAGGCTGGACTTTGTACCTGCACCGGGTACCTGGGGGGCCTGGGGGGCCTGGCCCTGCCTCACACAGGTGCAGTCCCCAGTCCCCAGCCTCCCCTGGGGTACACAGCCCTGCCACCCAGCTTCACCCAACTCTGCTCCTGGGCTGAATCCTAAGGAGAGGTGATGTCCTGGCAGATGCCCTGGCCCCAACCCTCCTGCCCCTCACTCCTGTGCCGGCCAGGAGCCCCAACATCCAATTGTGCTCCTTGGGCCGTGGACTCAGCAGCAGGGCCTGTGGGAATGGGGGAGCACCTGTTCTGTACAGTTTGGAATGTGGATGGGATGTCACTGTAGCCTCTGGCAACCCCAAAGACAAGATTTGGACTGAGGATATCAGGGGGACTGACTGACCATTAAGGATCATGGATTTAATTCAAGAACCACAGCTGTCCTGAGAAGACAATGAGGGCGCTGGGACTGTCCAGGGCTCACGCAAGCCTAGACCCCTGGGACGTGGGCAGAGGTCTCTTGCCTCGATGTAGGCAGACAGGGTCATGTAGATCTTCTCCCGGTATGGTGTGACGCGGTTCAGCAGGAGTGAGTTATGCATGGAGCTGTCCCATGCCGCCTCAAACTGGTAGAAAGTCCTGGGAAGAAGCAGAGAGGCGGTGAAAGATAACGGCGTGGGCTCGCTCCCAGCGGGACAGGGACATGCAGAGGACAGACAGATGGCGGGGGTGGGCAATGCGGGCAGAGCCATAGGAGTCACTGATGGGTGGGCCTCCTTGCTCAGGACCGGCTGCCCCAGCGAGCCCTCCTGCCTCTGCCCTCCTGCTTCGGCTCTGTGGATGCAGGTGGAGGAGGGCAGGGAAGGCCAGACAAAACAGGGAGTGCAGACCGGAGGCTGGCAAACCACTCTGCAGTCTGAGCAAGGAGGCGCCCACCCGTCCATCATCCGCAGACCCTGGCCCTGGCCCTCAGCACCTGTCTCCGCCTCCACAGGAGGCCGCGAGGATGCCTGGAGGGAAACGGCTCTGTTCGGAGCACAGCCAGGGCTCCTCTCTGGTTCCCAACCTCGGCCCACTTCCCCAGTAGGCTACCACACTCCACGGTTCCTCAAGGGTCACTCCTTTGGAACAGAGTTTCCTGTTGCATGACAGCTCCTGGCCCCACCCACCCGTGATCTCCTGAACTCTCCTGCAGCTGGGGCTGGCAGGGAGGAAATGGTTCCGATCCATCCAGGCATCCTCAGAGACAGTTCACACATGTGGACACAGACACCTGGCAGAGCCCTGCACCAAGGGCCAGGCCCTTCAGGGGGCACGGGGCGGGTCCCAGAGGTGCTGGGCCACACGGGGGCTCAGATGGTGCCAGGCTGCCCTGTCTCCCACCCAGCTGGGTCCAGGACATGGGGCACAGGGTCTCACAATCATGGAGGTGGAACTAAGCAGAGGGACGAGGGCAGGGTCACTGCCAGACACACGTCACTGAGGAGCACTCTGGGGGAGTGGGCCAGCGGGCAACCAGAACAGGGCAGAAGGCAGGCAGACGTCAGAGGAGAATGGGACAGACGGGGCAACAGAGCAAGCGGGTGGCAGACAAGAGTGGCTGTACCTAGTGTCAATTCCGAAGGACACGCTAAGGGCGAGACAGCCAGGACACACAGACACACAAGAAGAGAGTGAGACGTCAGACCGCGGCCTGCGGCCCACACAAGCGCCTCAGCCTCCCAAGCCCCCAGCGGGTGACACCCTGTGCTCCTGCACCCCATGGAGTGCCCAATACCACCAAGCTGGAGTGGGCAGCAGGGTTCTTCCCATTGGGCCAGAGTGGCACCCTCCACAGCCCAGCTCCCAACAAGCACAGCCACGCGGCCAGCTTCAAACACCGCTGCCACCTCTGCCTCAGAGGTCTCTGCACCTCCGTGTACTTCCCTGCCTCACGACGGGGCAGTGAGTGTCCCAAGGTCCCCGTGAGCGAGTGGAGAAAGCACCAGCACAAGGACATCCATGCCACTGTCACTCCCGTGCCGTGAGAGGGTCAGACCAGCGCGAGACCAGTGCCCTGCCTCATCTGCCTGGCCATGTGTGGGCTCCTCTGTCCACCTGCCTCAAAAGTGCCCGTGCCCGGCCTGTTTACTTCACTCTGAGTGCACTGCACATGTGGACACAGCCCCCTCTGGGTGTCCTGCCCAGGCCTCTCCTCGGGAGCCCTGTCTGCACCTGTCCCCCAAGCAGGGCACCCAAAAGCAGGGGCTGCCAGCTAGTGCAGCCCCAAGTGTGGAACAGACTTTGCAGGCCAGGCCTGGACATGGAGCACAGTCGCGTTTCCCCACACGGGCAGCACGGCTCCCTCACAGAGGACCCCTCCTCCAGCTGGAACAGCCCTGCACAGGCTCCAGGGAGCCGGGGTCCCCAGATGTGGCTGCCACTCCGCTGCCTGCACGGCCACCCAGCCAGGGACTGACACAGGCACAGCCATGATGCTGACCACAGGCTGCTTCTAGGGGATGCCAGCCTGGCTACCGCTCTGCCCAGGAAGGGCTGCACACATGTGGTTGCACCACCTGCCCTTGGCCACAGGCAATAAGAAGGGTCCCCAGTGTCATCCCAAGACCCTAAAGCTCTGAAGATGGGGGTGAGTTGGAGGGGATAGTGGCTGGACTTGGGGTGGCAGATGGTAGCTCCCTATAGGACTCCTGAGCCTACAGAGCTTTATGTGGGCTCCACCATCAGCACCCCTCAGTCACAGGACAGGAAACCAGGATCAGAAAACACTGAGAGGCAGCCAAGTCACCCCAAAATGGCACAGGACCTTGCTGTGTCCCTGCCCCTGTACCCCTCTCCCAATTTGACACACACTGCCCCCTTGGAGAAGGACTGCCCGCAAGGCTCCAGGTGAGAGTTTTATCCCACTGGGAGGTAGTGGGAGGGAGGAAAGGGAAGCTGACAGTGGTGATTGTGGTTGGGGCTGCTGTGGGTGAACCTGCTGGCTTTACACAGAGGAAGGGGCCAGGACACACGTGCACTCTCTCTCACCAGGCCGTGCCCTGTGCCATCACCAGACTGTGGACCAGAATGTGAGCCAAAACAAAAACAAACCCAGTCCTCATGAGTCACCAAGCTCCAACGCTTTCTTACAGTTGTGCCACACAGACTGACCACCCTCGAGGTGCAAGTGGAAGAGGACATGGATGCAGGGCTCTGCATCAGAACCCCAGGGAGCCGGTGAAGGCACAGCTTCTGGCCTCCTCCAGACCCACCGGGCATAAATGCTGGGAGCAGAGGACCTGAGCTGGCTCTGAAGGGGCCTCACTATCGTCCTAGGCCTCTGAACCCACCTGTTCTGCAGCTGGAGAAGGCCAGGACCACAGCCAGGGCTTGCTGCTGTCCTAGCAAGGTCACCCCAAGCCTGCTCACTGCCCTACCATCTGTAAGTGGGTACTCTTGGAACCCACGCTAAAGAAAGGGGTGGTGTGGAGCACATTAGTCACCATTCCATTGCTGAGGTAAAATGCCTGACATACACAACAGGAGGAAGACTCATCTTGCTTCACGGATCCAGAGGTTTCAGTCCATGGCCACTGGCTCTGAGGCACAAACACGATGAAGAAAGGTTTCTGCTGGCCAGGAAGTGAGCACAAGGGAGAAGCCCAAGAGGAAGAGGCCAGGGACCAGGAAAGAATCCAAGGCCAAGCCTCTATGACCCACCCAGTCGCATCCAGAGTGTGTGTCACTAATCTAAACATCCTCGGACAATTGAGCTGACGAGACAGCTCTTCTCAGGGCAGGTGACACAGGGTCTCCTTGAGGAAAAGCCAGTCAGCCCACTCCCATGGTCAGAGGTGGAGCCTCAGGACTCAGGGGTGACCCATGGCCTCCAACAGACACGCAGGCCCCAGGTGGCCTTCGTTGAAGGAAGGAAGGCAAAAGTCACCAGAATGGAGATGGAGATGCTCCCAGCCATCCTAGCAAGCGTAAATGAGCTGGGAAGTGCTGAAGGGAAGGTTCCTCAGCACGATCACCTGTAGTGATTTTCATAAAAGACTCAGCCGGAGCCAGGACACGAGAACCGAATCTGCCAGGGACACTGGCCCAGCAGCCAAGGACTAAATCTGCTACAATCCTCCTGGGTTCTGCTTTTGAGGTTTCCCCTGTCTCTGTTCCCCAGAACCAGCCCATGGGTCACTGCTGCACACAAGCCCCTTGCACACTCTGCTGTTTGTAGATCAACGTCATTTCCCCTTTGCAGAATCTGGTGTTTTCAGACTGACACTATACATCATACCTGCTGCAGATTTTGACCCGTTTTTCTCACAAATGTTCTGGCCCAGGAGAGCAAAGAGGCCAGGAGGTGGGCACTCAATCAAACCTCATGCTGGAGGCTGCAGCCCAGGAAGTCCCTGGGAAAGGTGCCAGTTTCAGGGGCATCCCAGGTCCACCTACCTGTGTTCTGGGACTGAGTGCCCTACTGCAAGAGTGGGCGTATGACCCCAGGTCAGGATCAGAGCACAGGATACACAGCTCTGCTCACAGGTCTCAGGATCCACCTGTACCCAGAGCCATCTGAATGAGGTGAGCACAGACAGTGGGCAGCCAGACCCTACCCTAGGAGGAGGCTGGCACCAGCACTGGCCAGGCCAGGCCACAGTGGTCCTCAGATCTCCCTCTGCCTCACGTCCTCCTCGGCACTGGCCCTGTCTCCAGCTCTGGAGGGAAGCAGGGCACCCCCCAGCCTGGCCAAGCCCTGTCCCCTCCCCTAGGATCCAGAAGTGGGCCGGGGACTCGTCAGTAGATGGAGGCACGGAAGGGAGTGCACTGGCCAGGCAGATTAGGAAGGCCAGGAAGAGGCTGCTGGCTGCCAGGCTCAAGCCTCCAGGGATCCCGGCTGAGGGCAGGTGGCCAGATGGAAGGGCGTGGACACCGAGAGCAGCGAGCATCCCCATGGAGCAGGGCAGGGCCCTGTCCAGGTTCCACCTGGCCTGCAGTGAAGCCAGGGCTGGTGACACTGCCTGCTCATAGCTCCAGCTCCTAGCCAGCTGGATATGCACATGCCCACACTCCTGGTGCCCACTTTGCGGGAACCACTACGGCTGCTGTCCTTGGGTAAGGGGACCCGACAGACAGCCCTTGGGAAATGCTGGGACAGCACTCTCACAGCCAGCCCCATGTGGCCTCGGCCCAGAAGCCTCCAGGCCCTGGCCCTGAATGAGGTCCCCACTGGACCTGTGTGTGAGCATCTTGGCACTGAGTTTCCCGGCCACTGTGGAGCACCCTTGTGCCCCAAGCTGAACCGCAAGCAAACGAATGAGGCGGACTCACAGATGGACCTACATGGAAGGAGAGAGGGACACCGAAGTCTGGAGCCCTGCATCACAGGTTGGACTAACACCAGGGGACCCCTTCCCTGGGAGAGCATCCAGGCTGTAGGCAGCCAGCTGAGGGAGCCGCATTCCCCACTGCTCCCCGCCTCCTGGGGAGGAAGCCTATGAGGCCAGGACAGGTCACACATCACACGAGGCTCCAGGGCACCCTCCCGTCATCTTGGACCCTCTCCCAGCACCTGTCACTTGCCGTGGCACCGCCATCCACCTTGTTGGTGGCTCCCACCCACTGCCTGCAGAGCCAGCTCAAGCCTCTCATTCTTCCGGCTGCTCCACGCTGAGCCCAGGCCTGCTGGCCAGTGGGTGACAGCTTAGCTAGGACGGACACCAGCCACAGGAGGGCCAGCGCCCCAGAGGCAGGGTCTCTGGGCTGTGGGGCTGCCACAGAAGGCCCTGCAGAGGAGACCAGCTCCTCTCCTTCCCCCAGGCATCTGTGTCCGGGGTGTCTGAGAGGGACACAGGGCTTGCGGATGCTCAAGGGTGGATAAACCCAGCCTTACACAGTGCAGCCCCCATGACCGCCTGAGAGCCCGGATGGGCCAGAGCGTTGCTGGGCCCAGAAGATGCAGAGCAGACACTGAGCACGGGGACACTTGGGCTGGATGCACCCTCCAGGACTAGCCAGCACGCACTGAGCACAGGGAGCTGGAGGCTTTGCTCTGGCCTGTCCCTCGACAGGGTCTCTGCCTCACCTGGGCCCCAGCCCGCTGCAGCCTTGGAGAGAGATGTGCTCATCCACACAGGGGACCTGCTGCGGAAAACCACAGCCCTACTGCCTAGGCTCTTCCTGCCATGGCAGGGCCTCAGCCACAGCCCACTCTGCTCTGACCACAGCGTGACCTGGCAAGGGCTCAGCCTCTGGCAGCCCCCTCACTGCGCTCACCCTGCCCTGTGATGCCATCTGGGGAGCAGCCAGCAGACCCTGGTTTCAGATCAGCTGCTCACAAAGTGACTATCACAGGCCTCTGGCCACCATCCACGGAGCTCTCCAGAGCTGTCCCTGGACAAAGCTGTCCTGCCCCAGGCCAGCACGGGCAGGGCCTCCTTCAAGACAGGGAAGGCAGCTGCAGTGGGTCTGCTTCTGGCCAAATAAGTCCAGGGACCCACAGGTCTCTTTGTGAATCTACAGCTGCCACTTCCAGAAGGAAGACAGTAGCTGTGCCCCATCTGCTCCGGGCCTGGTGGGGCGAATGTGCCAGTGCAGCCGCATCTCCTGGCAACTGGGCCCTGTCTGCCCTGTTCCCTGTGCCCCTGCTTGGCCCACTATGGTGCTAATGGGGAGCTGCTGGCCCTCGCAAGCTGGTGCAGCCCCGGCACCAGGCCACCTACATGCAGGTGATGCCTGTGCCCGCTCCGGCCAGGCTGGGTTGGACATGGGCGGCAGGCTGGGGTGGAGGATCAGGAGGCCAGCCAATGTCTATGGAGCAGAAAACTACAAGCAGCCAGGTTAAGAGGGACTCAGCCAAGGGGTCAGGGACAGAGGAAGCAAAGAAATTAGAAATAAAAAGAAAGCCAGAACAATTTTCCAAAGAAATAAAAAGAGGGAGAAACAGGAGGGAAAAGTGAGCAAGTTGATAAGGAACCAAAAAAGCCAGAAATTAAATTTTCAGGGTTATGAGGGCAATGAGGGAAGAGGGGGAGAGGTTGAAATAAAACCAAGGGACGCAATGATACCTAGGAATGTCCGAATCAAGAAACTGCCTGCAAAACACAAACGGTCACAGGTTAGTGAGGGCAGGGCCGGGCAGCAGCAGCGGGGGCAGTGGCTGGGGCAGCGGGGGCAGTGGCCCGTGCAGCTGGGGAGCAGGGAGAAGAGGGCGCTGAGGCCATGGCAAAGCATGTGGGTAGCCAAGGCCCCTGGGCCGGAGCTGCCAGGCCTCCTGAGCCTGGGGAGGAGCAGCCTGGGAACAGCCCAGGTGTCACAGGCTCCCGGGACATTGCTGTTGTCCAGGGGCAGGAAGCCATGCCACGCAGCCCCACAGGGAGGGACCACAGGCTGGTGCCTGTCTAAGACTTCCTGGGGCAGGCAGGCAGGGGAGCTGCATCAGCATGGGCAGGGGCCAAGCGAGGTTATGCCTGCCTGTGTAGGACCTCACATGGCTCCCAGCCCCAGGGAGCAGGATGGAGACCTTCAGGATTGGGCTCTGAGGCTCCAGGAACAGGGAGAGCCTGTTTGGAAAAAGTCCTGCCCGCCTGAGGACCAGCCTGCATTGCTACCTCCTATGTCGGCATGGCTTAGCCAGGGCCCAGGCCCTCAGGGCATCCCTCAGAAGTCAGGCTGGTCAGAGGAGGACATGATCACAGAGCTGGCCCTCTGTGCGAGGAGACAGCAGCGGGTGGTCATACCTCGCACCTCCTAACCCAGGAGCCCAGGAGTTGTTGCCAAAGTAGGGGTCAGAGGTCAGGGAACAAGGTTGCCTCCCCAGCCCCAAAGCTCAGCAGCTGATGCCCCCTGGGGCCTTGATCCCAGGGCCCAGCTTGGAGGTCCAGTCCCACAGAGGTACTGGGCCTCATCCACACCCTGCCAGGATCATCAACAGCAGCAGAGCTGTGAGGCCAGAGGAAGCCAGGCTCTGCTCACCCCACTGTCAGTCTGCCCGCCCCATGTGAGCTCCAACCTGCCTGGCCAGGGCCACTGCCATGAGAGAACACCCAAACCTCCTCCAGGGCCCCCATCTGCCCATGCAGGCCCACTGTCCCCTCCACCAACCACTCCCTGGGATCTGTGACGAATTCAGCTCTACTGGGATCCAGGAGCTGGGAGAACAGGAGCCGTGTCCACCAGGGCCTTTCGTCCAAGGGTGTAGCCTTCCCAAGCACACCTGATCTTCAAAGATGTTTTCTTACAAGTGCAGCCCCACCTGAGCTCTGGGGGTCAGCTCTTGGGCATGTCCAGCTCTCAGGGAGAGCCAGACTAGGGATCAGGCCTGGAAAGCAGCTCACACAGTCATACCAGCTGGGTATCCCCCCAGGCCCCACAGCCCCCTCTGCCAGCCTCAGATGCAGCCCCTTCCCAATCCACCTGTCCTGGAAAACCCTGCAGGGCTCAATCACCCCTACACTGCCCGGATGCCTCGAGAAGGGACTGCCAGGCAGAAAATGACCTTGTCCACTGTCTGGCAGCCAGGCAGGCAGGTGTGGCAGGCAGTGTGGCATGCAATGCCCTGTGGTCACCATATCCCCACAGCTGTGGGACTCAGCCTCTATGAGCCTCTGAACTTCCGCTATGACCCCACCCCTGGACCCATTCTGCCCCATCCTGGGAGTCCACACACCCACCAGAGGCCAGCATGTCCATCCACAGCCCCAGGACCCAGGATGCCCCCTAGCTCAGACTCTAAGCCCATGCTCCTCCCATGACAGAGCAACGTGAGTATGTGAACCAGTGACAGACACTCGGTCAAGGGAGACAGGGGGCTCATGTCAGGAGGGAGGTGGGGGCTCTTGGGCCAGATATTCCATGTGGCTGGCTGAGCAGGGGTTGCAGGGAATGGTGGGACTCACCGATCATCCTGGGCTGGGTGGATGTAGCCAGAGGAGAGGATGTTGAGAGAGAGGATGTTGGGGTCAATTAGGGACTCGTCAGTTTCTGGAGTGTTCCGGATACGACCTGAGGGAAAGGCAAGAGCTGTGCATCACAGAGGCAGTGTCTGGCCTACTTGGCTCATGGGCTCCTGGGTGGCGGCAGACAAAGTCCCCAGGTGGACAGAGAGGCCTGGCTGGGTCCCTGGCACCCGGGTGGTACTGGTGGTCGCCCTAACTCGGTCCCACACTTCCATTCTGGCAGATCCTAACTGCCCAGCCCAGGAAACACAGGCCTTCCTAGCTGCCAAAGAGATCTCAGCAAGGTGGGGTGAAAATGTTCCCACTTCTTTCTGTGTTTAACAACACTAACAAAGACAGAAAAATCTCGTCTGTGCCGTCATCTGTCATGGGTATTTCCCGCAGACTCTGAGACGCCAGCATGTGGCAGCATCCTCTATGTGTGTGCAGGCCAGGAGGCTTCGTCTAACTGTCACCCTGGGAGTGACAAGTGGATCACATGATTTCCTTTGCTAGGCATGAGCCGGACTGGGCCTTCCTCCTCCCCTGCCAGCCCAAGGACGTGGCAAGACTCTGTCCACAGCTCTGAGCACTCAGGCCTGGGGGTGGCCTCACTTGTAAAGACTCCCTGCCCTGCCCTCCATATGACCAGTGGGACTAGGACACCAGTGTCCTCCCCAGGGCACTCACACATGGGGTGGGCAACACATTGCTTACAGCTCAGCAAGAGAAATGACTGATAGACCACAGTTTAGACAGGAAGCCAGGGAGGAAAAACCCCAAACCTTCAGCAGTGCTTATGGTTTGAACTGTGCTTCCTCCCAAAAAACACAGGCTGGAGCCCTAACACTATGAAGCCCGAATTTGACATTGTGTAATGACAGCACTGCAAGTGTGGTTAGTCAGACTCTGGTTGCAGCTCCAAGCACCTGTGGGTACTGAGATAGAGGCACCCCGAAGTGCAGTGGCCTCACCACAGTGGGGCTTGTGGCGTTAGAGGATGGTGTGTGAAGGGGGCACAGATAACTCATGGAAAATGAGCCCAAAACATCCCACACTGCTGTCCCCAAGCCAGGAGAGGCAGGAAGACACACAGGTCTCAAGAGGGGGTCTCCTGCGGGGCCTCAACTCTGGCCCCCATCCCCCAGAGCTATAACATCTGTTTCTGTCATTCTCATTTGTTTGAGACAAGGTCTTGCTATGTAGCCAGGACTGGCCTCAAACTCAAAGCCATCCTCCTGTGTCAGCCTCCAAGTGCTGGGATTATAGGCATACACCACCATGTGTGGCTGGTTCCTGCTTTTCAAAGCCACCAGTTTGTGGCACCCTGTTAGGGCAACCTTACAAAACTGACGCACATTAAACAGACACTTGGGAACCACCATCTTCCAGAGCTCCCCTTCTCAGGTGAGGGCTGAGGCACACAGAGTCGTGTGAGAGGCCAGGAACACAACAGTGGGAATAGCTGCAGGCCGCCCACTCACCCACGACCAGCTCCCGCACTTCCTTCCAGCGGATGTGGCTGCCTGTCTCATGCAGCAGCGTCACGGTTATCCGTCTTTGGATGCCCTGTCAGGTGTGCAGAGAGAGGACAGTTCAGGGAATTGGGCCATAATGGGGCTGGGGTGGGCAGGGTGGGGCAGGGCAGGCTGCGCACCTGGTGCAGGAGGAAGGTCCCCATGCAGGGCATGCCCCCGCGGTGGTCCACAACTGCTGGGATGTAGCTGCAGGAGAGACAGGAGTGAGAGGTGCCCTCCTCCCTGCCCACTGGGCATGGCCCTGGTCCCTCTGTGGAGGTGGGCAGCGCTGGGAACCTGTACTGGACCACCTGGATCCTTGCACCCACACCTGCCACTGTGCTAAGTGGCTGTCAGGGTAGGTTAAGTCTGGCCTCCAGGATGTGTCTTTGCCACAACCCCCAGGGCTCTGCTTCCATTCTCCCTATGGACTGGGACCCGAAGCTAATGGGGTCTCTTCCCCCAGCCCCAGGGCTCCCACTGGCTTAGCCTCCCATCCTCTGGGATCTGCCCCAGCCACAGCTGGGTGGGCTGTGCCCTGGGTAACAGGGAGGAGCCTGGGCGACCTCCCACCTCCTCTGGGTGCTTGGTGAATGTCCTTGATTGTACTCCACTATCCAGGCCACCCTAACCCAACCTGGGGACAGTACTCAACACCACCAGGGGCCACAGCCCCAGCCCTAGCCCCTTGGGCAGGGAGCAGCACACTGTTCTCCAGCACCTGGCCCACACTGAAGGGCTGGCACATACCTGCTGGATAGGCCCATGCCCAGCCCTCTCCTGCCCCACCACACCAGGAACATGGCCATCCCGGTCCCCAGGGTCCCTCTCCTCCCCATCCCCGTCCCCAGCTCAGGCAATGTGGACAGGCACTCACTCGCCGTTGGCCTCCAGCTCACAGATCTCGAAGTAGACCAGCAGGTCGTACTTGCAGTGGCAGGGCCCCGGGCAGGGCCGCGTCAGTGTGCTGAGTTTGGTGGCAGGCACTGCAGGGACAGGACAGGGACATCACACAGCAAGCCACACCATCACAGACTGCAGGCAAGGGCATGACCCCTGCCCAAGGCACCTGCACAGGACACACCTGCCCTTGGTTGTCAGACCAGGTAATGAGAACCAGGTTGGGGATAGATGTGACCTTACCATTTCTGCACACCCCAGCACCAGAAGCCTACGCCCCTAGACATGAACCCTTGTGGGGGCATGGCATGCGACCCCAAGCTCCAAGCAGGATGCCAGAGACACCCACTCAAGAGTCCCACCTGGCCAGGGAGCCCTTTGCCTGCGGGGCTGCCAGCCCATCGCCTGCTTGCCTTTTTGCCACAGCCACTGCAGCAGCCCAAGCACACCCTCCCTGGCCCCCACTCCCAAGGGACCCACACTGGTGTCCAGCTCCTAACAAACAGCCTCTAGCTCCTGTGCCCCCTGCCAATCTCTGCCCGCCACCCCTCTGCAGCCCTCACACCTGCTGCGTCCCATCCCAGCCACCAGTGCCCTACCTAATCATGCCTAGTGTGCCCTCTGCACAAAGCTGTGAGCCACAAAGCCCACGGGCCTGGCTGTGTCCCCTCTCATGCCATCCTCAGCCTGTGAGACCCATCCTCCAGCAGAGCCTGCAGCCTGGTCACATTGCTGCCTGGGATGTGGGAGAGCCCACCTACCTGGCTTGGACAGCGGCATGACCCGAGGGAAGTGGCGGCGGGAAGGCCTCAGGGGGCTGCAGAGGAGGAGGCCAGAGTGAGGGACCTGGCTGGAGAGGGCAGCCCAGGGCAGAGCAGCTGCTAACCCCATGTGCATTCCCATCCCTCTGTCCCTCAGGCCCAGGAAAGACCCCAGCCTCATGCCCTGGACCAATCTGGGTGGGAAAAGAGAGACTCCCAGGGCTCAAGACTACGTCCTGAAGCTCGCAAGCCATGGCTCCCAGCCCCACAGCTCCTGCACTCAAAGTGGTGAGGACTCCTGGGACCCAGTGCCTCCCAAACGCCTCTCACTATTCTCTCTGCCCGATACCCCACGTATCCCTCAGCTCTGGGTGCTGCTTGACAGCCAAGAGGGAGACAGAGCTCGCAAGCATGCCAGGGCCCCAGGCCTGCCCAGCTCTGTGGCCATTGGGCTTGGCTGGTCTGATGCCTCCTCAGCTCAGGCCCAAAGCTAGGGCATGGGAGGGCTCAGGGGCCCCAGAGCCCCAGCCACAACCCATGCTGACCTGAGCACGTCCTTGCAGAGAGGCGGGAAGGGGTGCTGCTGGTAGTGGCCGAAGACCTCGAACACAATGGGCTGGCTCTTGATGTACTCAATGAAGGACTTGGTCACCTCCACTGCAATCTGGTGGGTGAGGAGGCAGGTGGGAGGGCACAGCCAGGGAGGACAGTCCCATGAGAAAATGTTTCATCTCCATGAAGAGCTGTGTGCTCCCAGCCCTGAACTGCATGGGAACCCTGACCAGGGACATCCTCTGCCTGGACAGGGACAACAGTCCTTGCCAAACCTGGTCAGCTCAGCCTTTGCTCCCAAGACAAGAGCCGGGCCAGACTCTGGTGGCAGCTTGGTCCTGTCCCTGGGGAAGATGAGGCCACACAGAGACCAGGTAGTGTGGCCACTGCAGTGCCAGTTGGAGTAAATTTCTGTCCCTCAAATTCCTATGTTGAAGTCCTGACCCCCAGGGCTCAGAATGTGCCTCCTCAAGATGGGAAATTACAGAGATGACCAGGGACAGCGTCCTCACAGTGGAAACACTGGGACACAGACCCCAGGGTGAAGGCAGTATGGACAGACATTAGGGGAGGTGGCCATCCATGGTCAAGAGCAGAGGCCTCGGAGGGTCCAGCACCAGTACTATGACTTCTGCAGACCCAGATGCCAAAACACTGCCCTGGTCAGTGCCAGCCTCTGTGCCTTGTGCCCAGTCACATTTACGGCCCTTAGCCAATGTCACTGTTGCCAAGTCTGGCACTTCTGTCCCCTCTGCCTGGTGACCCCACCTCCCAGCTGAGCTTCCCGGAGCTTCACAGAGCCACTGTGCCCCAAAGCCCCAGCTGGTCCCCCCAGCTCTCACCTCTCCTCCTGGCATTTTCCTGGCCTCTCAGGGCTGTCCTCAGGGCTCCTGCCACCCTCTGTGCCTGGCCTACCTTGTCCCCGACACCCAGGCCAGCTGCTTGTGCTGGGCACCCTGAGCCCTCAGCATAGGTCCCAGGCAGGACCTCCAGATACCTCCTATCCACATCCTCCCAAAGCCCAGTGTCGGAGCTCCTACATACCCCACAAAAGCCTGTTGGGCACTACCACCCAGCTGTAGCCCCACACAGCCCTGCAGGGCCTGTGTTCTGCAGCTGGGCAGTACTGGGCACAGGACTGGCCCAGAGAAGCAGACGGTAGGGTTGCTCATCTGGGAGCAGGCCTGGGAGGGTGAGGGCCTGGAACGTACATTCTGGACGTGGTAGAAGCCGAGTGGGGGGCCCCTGCCTGTGTTCTTCAGGGGCTCCGTGGAGAAGGCCTCGTCGTGCCGGTGGATGAAGCTGCAGAAAGGGATGCGGCACTTGGTGGGTGGGACTCAGGCCAGAGTGGTCCCACCCACCCTGGCCTGGCTGGTGCCTGGCAGGACAACCCTGGGCTGAGGGTAGGGTCAGCACAGGGCTCACTTGAACTGACAGAAGATGTCGGCATATTCAGCAGAGATGCTGGACGCCTGCAGAACGGTCACACGGAAGGTGAAGGTGCTGCCCAGGCGAAGGTGGTCCAGGGCCGCATCCAGGGGCCCGTCCAGGACGGCTTTCTCAGGACTGTCCAGGAGGAGTCCGTCTGGAGGTACTGCTGCCGAGAGTGGGCAGAGCAATGTCTCCAGGCCACACTGTCACCCAAACCCGGCCCTGGAGCAGACTGGGCAGCTGGGAGCCTACCAGAGCAGGTATTGTTGTTGACCTCGTCAGCCGAGGGCCCTGCGTCAGCGCCCTGGCCCTGGCCCTCCACGATGCGCAGCTCTTCCTGGGAGGTCCCTGAGCGGGACATCCCCACCACAGGGCCGGACTCAGACTGGAACTGTGGGGCACAGAGTCAGGAGGGCGGAGAGAGCCCCAGGCCAGGGCGGCACAGCGCTGCCACAAGACCCAGGAGTGGCAGGTTATGACAAACTGGGGAAGGGGTGTTGTGTGCTTGGGTAGGATTTGAGGGACCCATACACCACCAGAGGCTGCCACCAGAGGTCTGGGCACTGAGTGGTGGCCCAAGTGCGTGTAGCCCAACTGTGCGCAGTACCTTTTCAAAATGCTGGTCATCAAAAGAGATCTTCGCTGTTCCTGACTGGCGGACCCCGGAGCCATAATCGGGCGCCTCCTCATCAGCTACAGGAATCGAACAGGTGGTCAGGTCCAGTTGTCCCAGATGGGCACAGCCAGGCTGAGCAGTGCCTGGGTCAGGCACAGCCCTGGCACACATGAAGCCTGCCCCCACTGAGTGCCTAGGACACCACCCCCACCCACCCTTCCCCATGGAGTCCTGACCTGGTCCCACTGCTCCCAGCAGGGCACAGGCCTTGCAGGCCGCCACACTGTCCTCTCCACCCCACTGACCTTGGCCGATGCTCTGTTCGGCCCTTACAGTGCTGGTTAGGCCTGTCCCTAACAGGGCCCATACCCAGCCACAGGCAGCGTAGGGTTTGCACCTCTCCTATATTGTCTTTCCCAGAGCCACAGAAGGAAGCAACTGCCTCACCCCAGACACAGTCTTCCAGGGCCCAGCCCAGGTCGGGTCTGCTCTCAGCTCCTGTCCCAGCTCTGACTCTAAACACAGCCCATGGACAGGAGGGGCCGTGGCTTCTCACATCCCTGTCTGACCCTGACTCCACATGGCACCAGAAGATGACCTTAAAGGTAAACGTGTTGTTCCACAAGGACCACCCCCACCGAGAGCAAGATCACAGCTTTCGGAGGGCAGTGGGTAGGGGTGCAGAGCAGGTGCAGCCAGGTTGGCTCAGCTCTGTTGGATGAGGTGGGAGCAGCCCCGAGGGAGGGCCAGGCAAACAGACAGGCTGTAGAAGTTGGCCACTGCCTGGGCTTCCCAGAGCTCCAGGCTCCCCTACTCATCCGGGTCCTGGTTCTCAGTGGCTGCATTTCCTTTACACAGGTGGGTGAGAGGCTCTGTAAGAGCATTTGGGAGCTAGGGGCTGCTGGGAGTTTGGTGACAGGGCCCAGTGTTAATTAAATTAATGGAGTAGCATCACAGTCTCGAGAAGTGGCCAGGGTTATCAGGGAACAGACATAGTGGAGAACAGAGACATCATGAGAACTGGGGGCCCGACCCATGGGGGTGCCAGCCCCTCAGTTCCTCCCAGCCAGCCCGCACATCCTCTCTCCTGTTTGTCTGTCTGTCTATCTGCCTCACTCTCTCCAAGGCACCAGGCAGCCAGATCTTTGGGGGTAACAGTGAGTCCCCCATGGGAGAGGTGAGGAGTCTGCAGCCTTCTCCATTGGGCAGGGCACACTGCCCGATGCCCTGAGCTGAGTGCATGCCCCTGAGCATGGTCTGTGTATTCCCAGGTGGCTCTGGCCAGCCCTGAGCACAGGGGACACCCTGTCAGGCCAGCTCGGGAAGATGGGGAGGACAGAGCTCCAGGCCACTGTACCCTGCCTGCCGCCCACCCTGCCAGTGCCCACTCGCACCTGAGATGGCCTGCACGGCCACACGCAGGAAGCCCTTCACCTCGCCCTTTTCGCTCACAATGGCCACGCGGTGCACCAGGGGCACGGGGTACAGCAGGTTGCTCAGGTACACGAAGGCCCTGGGGAGCAGAGGTCGGTCACAGGTGCCAGGGCCCTGTGCAGCAAGGACAGCACCAGTGACAGCACGCTGGTCACAACACAACACGACGCTGCAGAGCAGAGTGGGCAAAGCACGGACAGCCAGGGTGGGGTAGGCGGGGAGAGGGTCCTGGGCCTTCACGGCACAGAGACAGGAGGAGCGGAGGCAAAGAGTAGGCGGGCAAGGGGCATGAGGGCAGAGGGTGCTGCCCAGCGAAGCCCAGCGCGGGGCTGAGCAGAGGGCAGCTGGGGGGTTTCAGCCTGCTTCAAGGATGAGGACCCAGCTGGGGTGACCCATGAGCCACCACCTCTGACCAAGCAGTTCTACCCCCAAAGCCCAGATTCCAGGGGGGCACCCCAGGCCAGCACACCCCAGACCTGCAGCACTGCCCACCTGCCCCATCCATGACCTAAGACCAAGAACCTCCTGTCCCTGCATCTGGTGCCTGGACTGGCCTGGGCAGGGGCCCTGTGGCCACTGCACCCTCCCAGCTGCCCAACACAGGGCATCATGGGCAGAGGAATAGTGGATGCTGAAGACGATGTGCCAGCCTGGTGTGTGGACTTTGAGGGGGGCTGGTTGGGTGGGCGCTTCTGAGGGAGGGGGCTCCCTCTGGGATTGGGCGCCCTCTAGGGGAGGAGGGCCACCAAGGTGAGCTGTGCTGTGGCAAGAACCAGCCGCCTGTGAACCGGCCCTCAGCCACTGTCCTCTCTGGGTAGAGACCCACAGCCAGAGGACAGGTGATTTCTAGAAGGGGCACATCAAGGCCGGGATGGGCAGGACTGGGACACAGGCGGTGGGAGAAGAGGCAGAGTAGGACAGTGCTCTCACCCAGGTGTGGGACAGAGGAAGCAGGCAGAGGACACGGGCTGCTGTCAGGGGGACAGGGCAGGGCAGGGATGGAAGAGGAGGAGGGGACAGGATGAACACAGTGCCCACACAGCCCTGGACACCAGACTCTGCCCACCGTGCCTGTTCCTGAACGACACCCTGCTCACAGGGATGCAGCTCAGTGTGCCCCGCAGAACCAGAGCCCCACCCATGCTTCTTCCCAGTCAGCGATGTCAGAGCCCCTGTGGCCTCCCCATCACTGGGGAAGGTCTGAGGATGCCAGCCAGAAGCCCCACACCCTCCAGAAACCCAAGCTCAATCCAGGAGCATCAAGCCCCTCAAGGTCCGGGAGAGCCCATGGGCTCTTGCCCTTCTCAACAGCCAAGCTGTCACTACTCTCCTGGCCCCTTACTCTCAGCCTCCTGGCACTGACCTTGAGGCCTCCTGCTTTCTGAGCATCCTGCCACACAGACCAGGCCACCATCACAGTACTTGGCTGAGGTCACTGGGGCAGGCCTTGGATTGGGCCTGGGAGCCCCTGGGCTATCCTCCTGCAGCAGAATAAGCCCCTCACCACACTCCTAGGGCACAGGAAGCCCTCGTTCAATGTCCCCTCAGGACACTCCAAGGGAGCACCAGTCTTCACCCTTCTTTCCAGGAGCCAGTGAGGAGCTGCTGTGTAGGGAGTTCAGGGAGCCCCTAGGAGTACCTTAGGGGTATCTGTGCCCTGGGCCAGGTGAGCACAGTGCTGGGAGGGGTGAACAGCTGTCAGTGCCAGCAGCCAGTTCAGGCTGCCCCTGTAGGGCTCAACTCCTGGGGCTCCAGGAAGCCAGTATGGCCAGGCTTGGACTGGCCAGGATGCCATGGAGATGACCACCAAGGCCCATGGTACGGGGCAGGTGCCTTCCTGGTATACTCATGGTCACAACCACCCAGAACCGACCCTCTCCTGGGACTCCCTAAAGGGCTGGTCCCAGGGTCTACAGCAGTGCACAGAAAGGAAAACTGAGGCAAGGCTTTGCCTGGCAGCGCTGCGGTTGGCAGCCCTCCTTGACTGCTGACACATCCTGCTGGAAACCTACTACCATCCCAGGGCAGGTGCTTCCTGCCACATGGCACACAGATGCCTGGGGTTTCTGACATCCCATGGAAGGATGGCAAGGCAACCCCAAGACAAGAGCACCTGAGGAAGGAGCCCCAGCTGCTATGTCAGGCTCCTGGGACCATACCCCAGGCAGAGCAGATACAGTAACATGGGAGGCATGTCTGGGCCCAGCCAGCCACGCACTCCTTCCTGAGAGATGAGGAGGTGAGATCTGGCAGAACATGGCCCCTGGGCCCATTTCATAGGTGAACAAGCAGAGGCACAGAAGAGGAGGCAGGGCTGGCAGTGACCTGCAGGTGTCTCTTACCATTTCTCACCCTGAGCCTCCCCACTCCATTAACGCAGCCAGGTAACTAAGGAGACCATTCTGCCTCAGCCCTTCAGAACTTCTTCCTGGCAGAGGGGAAATCCAGGCACTGCTACAGCCAACCTCAGGCCACTACATCATACACAGGCTGTGCCCAGAGGCAGGGCCCATGGGGTGGGGTTCTGGGAACCTCTCAGCTGGGGGTTGGAGGTTCTACAATGAACCTAGAGGCTATAGCCAAGCTGCCCCAGTTCTCTGAACCCTGTCACCCAGCTCGGGGGAGCAGCACATTTGCCCGGGGGCGGGGAGAACGGAGTTTAGCTCAGCCTGATGCCTGGTGTGGGAAATGGCAAGGGAGCTCACTGGCCCTCTCCTGCTGCAGCCCCAACCTCAACCCGCCTGGTGGCAGCAAAGGCCTCTTGGCCAGCAGGGCCTCCGTAGCCCACATCCCCGTCCCCCATGCAGCCATAGCCTGAGCTGGAAGACCCCTTCTGCCTTCCACACAGAGCCCACCTGGGCGACACACCGGAGGTTGAGGCAACAGACCAGGTGGTGCAGGTCTCTGGCCTGAGGGGGGATGGCCCTCCAGGTCCCAGAGAGAACATGTCAGCCACTTCAGGGGCCATGACCCAGCCCTGGCCACAAGACACCCATCTGCACACCCAGCCTCACTCCGGATCTGAGAAATGTGTCTGGCCACTGCCCAAGCAAATGAGGGGACTAGGTCCAGAGGCCCCAGCATGGGGGCTGAGGGAGCCCAGGTGGCAGAGCTGACATACTGCAGCCTCCTGCTGGGCCTGCGTTTGTCCCCCAAGCCCTGGACTTGATTCTGGAGCCAACTCCTGGGGACACTCGCCCCAGGCACTCGGCTCTCGTGCTGTCTGCAGCGCCCATGCCCCCATCTCACCAGTCAGAGACTGAGGCCCACTTCCTCAGCCTGGGCAACAGGTGCTCAGCCCCTTGCATACCCCATTGCCTGGCACCCCGACGGCCAAGGGGCCTTGAAGCAGACTGAAACGCCAGGAGCGCAGGAGGGCAGAGCGGAGAGAGTGGCAGGCGCGGTGGGCAGGAGGGAGGAGGCAGCGCTAACCACAGATTGGTGAGGAGCAAAGACGCATGCTGGGACCCAGGGAGCCTTTCCAGGGGGGCAAGAGTGGGCACCCCAATTTTGCTGAAGCTTTGGAGTGAGCCAGCGTGAGCCAGCAGCTACCAGGAGGATATGGGGAAATCAAAGGAGGTCCTTCCCAGGCTGGGCCTGCACAGCTGCTGCGCGGGAGAAGCCAATTCTTGCCAAACCAAAAATATCAGGCTGGTGCCAGATGAAGCCCGTCACAAGCCACCCCTGAGACAGGGCTGGGCCTCGCAGGGTGACTTTTGGTCAGTTTGGGAGTTTTGTGAAATCTCAAATCCACAAGAGGGAGAAAAACATTGGAAGGACCCAGCTCTTTCTGGCTGAGACTACAGAGCCCACACCCCATTTTCTGTGCTGTTCTCGACCACTGCATGTCCTGACCCCTTGCCTATCTGACACCCAGAACCTCTCCTGGCCATGCAGGTGGGAGGCCTGGCCCTACAGCCAGGGCGTGGTACTGAAACCTCCAGGAAACAGGCCTGGGTCTGCACCTCCCGCTGGGGCCCAGCAGAGAGGGGTTCCAGATCTGGGGCATCTTGAGGGACACTACCTGTTTTGCGTCCAGCAGGGACAGCAGCTAATGACACCTAATGCCAACCTGGTGACAACTAGGGAAACTAATCAGAGCAAGTCCCTGGTATGTGCCATGGGAACTTGCCGCCTGCAGGGGCCTCTCACACCACCCTCTCTTCCTGATGGAGGGGGCCACAGAGGCCCATGCTCTGCAGGGCCACCCTCAGCCTTCAGTTTCAGTGCCAGTTCCCCAAGGTCAGGACTTCTGGAAGTGTCCACTGGCCTGGCTCAAAGGAGCCATCTTAAACTCTCAGAGGACTGGCTGCAAGAGTTAAAACTTACTCTGTTCATGTCAGTGACCTACAACACTGCGGCCACTGCAGGCCCCGAATGCCTACTGCTACCCTCTGTGGCCAGAGATTCCCTGCCCTGTCCTTCCTCTCTCCTGTGTAATAAACACAGGAAAAGTGGTTGTCTTCGCCAAATCTGCCTGCAGGACAACACCCTCAAGTCTAGGCCTCCTTATAGCCTCAGTTCCACCTCTTGACCTTGGCCTCTCTTGGCTGCTTGGTGGACATGATGACCAGCTCCAGTCTTCGAAGGGTACACTCCAGGGGGAGGCTTGGGTCCCACACCATGCCTCTTGCCATGGAGACTGGGGAGGTCAGGAGACTGGGGAGGTTGGCCCCGCCTCATTTCAGGGGGAGGCAGCAGAGGGGCACGCAGGCCTGCTCCTGTCCCCAGAGTGGAGGAGCGCTGAGTGCACATAAATGCCTCAGTTTTGGACAGTGAGGATGAAGCTGGTCCTCAGGACAGGGCCCAGAGCTTGGGCCACACCTGTCAGATGCCCCCGGGCCCTGCAAAGGGACACACAACATTGAGACCTAAATCACAGCTGCTGCTCAGGCCCCCACTGCCTAAAAACAGCTCCCAGCTGCATGGTCTACCCGGATGTCACCTTCTGCACCTGGACCCAGCTCTGCCCTGTGACAGGGACATGGGGAGCCCCAGAGGCTCCCCAACTTTGGTGAGAGGCCAGTCCTCAGCCTGCCCAGCCAGGAGGGCCCAGGGTCTGGCCCTGACACCCATGGTGCCCACAGCAGTGCTCCCGTGCAAAAGAGCTGGTTCCTTCCCAGCATGCGTTCCTCGACCTCACCAACCTTCCTACTACACTGAACAGGGGGGACCGGTCGTAAAACGGGTCCCGGCCGTTGCACAGCGCGCGCTCCGGAAAGACGTCGTCCTCCAGGTCCTCCTCCTCCTCCTCCTCCTCCTCCTGCTCCTCCCCCACACTCTGCTCCTCGGCAGGCTCGGTGGTGTCGGAGTCGGGGCTCGAGAAGGTGGGGGAGGGGGTGAGAGCAGCCATGCGCTCGCTCATGCATGTGTTGAGAAGAGGGTAGCTGTTGCAGCCAGAGATGACTGAACTGAGGTTAGTACGACAAGACAGAGAGAAGTTAACACCAGCTACTCGCAGGAGGACAGGGTGGGTGGGGTGGGCGGGGGGGAGTGGGCTTCTGTTTTGAACCAAAACCAGACACACACCGTCAAGAACACTGCTTTAAAAGAGAAGGGGGGGGGGGGGGGGGGGGGGGGGGGGGGGGGGGAGTGGGCTTCTGTTTTGAACCAAAACCAGACACACACCGTCAAGAACACTGCTTTAAAAGAGAACCAAAAATGTGCCCTGTCCCCAGACTTGGCAAAAAATAAAAACACCAATGTGGTCAGCTGGAAGGTTCCAGGAGGTTCTAGAAGGCATCAACTGGTGTGACTGAAACAGGGGTCCTGGCCAGACATAGCCAAGGCTGTGTGAGGTCCTCCAGAGCTTAGCTGTATTAAGGTCTCAGAACACCACAGCCATGTGGCGTTGGGGCTGGCACAGACCTCAAACTGGAGCCCAGAGAACAAGGTGGTGGTCTCTACAGCCTGTAAGGTTTGGTGACACAGCCCTGTCTCCACATTCCCAACCCCAAGGCTGCCAGAGACCTAGAACAGCTGCCGAGGCCCTGGCTGCTTGGGAGCCCCACACATTCACACACATGGACAAGGGGCCCCACAGGGGGCATGGGTGGTGGTGGCAAGACCCATTTCAGGACCCTAAGAGAAGGCGTCTGTGGGTGTGTGGTGAGGAGTGGTGGGGGAGCCTGGTGGCATCTGGGGCTCTTCTCCAGGTCGGGGCCAGGGGTTGGGCTGCTCCATCCCACTGCCTCTCTCACTCTCTGCCAGGGAAGGGGAGGTGCCCACCTGCCCACCAGTCGGAACCAGGGGAAGCGATCATAGAAAGGATCCCCTCCGGTCACTACATTGTCACAGTCCTCGACGACACTGGAGGGCACCTCTGCGGCCCTGTCGTACATCTCCCGCATCAGGTCCAGACGCTGTCTGCAGGACACAAGGATGGCATGGCTCAGGACAGCTCAGCTTTGGCACCAGCTCTTCTCAGCAGTGGGCACAGCTGTGTCCACACCATCCTGCCCCATCCAGTCACCCAGGCTCAGGGCTCTGCTGCACAGAACTCTTCAACAGCCTGGGATCCAGTCAAGCTGACATCCCTCAGGTAAACACATGCTTCACCACCAGGTCCACTCAACCCTGTCCAGGCAACAGCAACTGGGAAGTGAACAGAGGAGGGAGGGGGGACTCAAATGAAGCCTGAAATGGGGGTCACGGCATGGAGCCCCACAAGCTCGAGGCAGTGATGGCGTATAGAAGATGAGAAAACACTAAGTTCTTGTTCCCCAGGGCAGGCAAACACTTGTGGGGATGAAATACCTGTGCCCTCGAGGGCCTGTATTTAACAGGGCCTCAGAAGCTGGACATAGTGGCTGCCTATTCTTCAGAAAACCAAGCCATACCTGCCAGAAGTGGGGACAGGTGTGAGTGTGTGCACGGATGTGTGTGTTTGCCAAAGTGTGTGCAAATTGGCTGAGAAAGCTCTGTGAGCGTGCGCATGTGTGCACATGTGTACAGTATTTTCTGCTTTCCAGTCTCTGATGTTTTGATGTCTTCAAGGCCTTGCTGGCTGAGAGAGCCCTGCCCAAGTCCACTGGGACTAAAGACAGCTGCTATTGGTACATAGCCTTGCACACCAGCAGGGTCCCCAACTTCCCACACCCAGCCAGCACGCCCTCCACCCTCAAGCCAGCCAGGATGGACTGACAGCGCTGTTTCCTGAGAAAAGCCCTGGCTTCTGTTTCCACACTGTGGCCCACAGGGTGGGCTGTGCCTGTGTCCTGGGTGGTGTGACACCAGCTCTCTTCTCTGGAGTTTACCATCTCCTCACACACCTGGGTAAGCTATGGGAAATGCTCCCTACAGGTGCACCCCATTCTCTTCCACTTCCTGCTGGGCACACAGGGCACAGCAGTAGGCTGGGGTAGAGTGGGGTGCTCCTTCCTGAGCCCTCCTTGCCTCTGCTCCACAGCAGAGGCCCTGTGCCCGCTGACTCTTGTGATGCCAGCCAGGCTCCAGCCTCAACCCAGGGCCCGCTGCAGTGCCATGCTGCTGCCCCCTCCCAGCAGCACAATCTCTAGCTTCAGGCCCTGGGCATCTTCATCCGTAAGAAAACACCAAAATGTATTGCTGTGTACCACAACACCACTGATAGGAGAGTGATTCCGGAAGGCTGGGCTCTATTCACTTTTTTCTTTTCATTTAAAAGAACCACATCAGCAAAAACAGTGGCACCTACATGTGCCCATGGTGACAGGAGCTCCACCCAGCTATCCCTCTCTGTCTGCCTCACTGCCTGCCAGCCACACCTGAGCTTCTCCAGCGTCCAGTAGTGGGTGGCCCCGTTCTTCTGGTCCTGGACCTCCACAGCCACAATGGTGCGGGGGAAGGGGCGAGTCTCGCGGTCTTTGGCAGCCTCTGGAGGCAGCAGATCCGGTGGCAGTGGAGAGTAGAGGGTATCCGTGAGGAGGACAAACTGGAACTGGACCTGGGACAGGCAGTGACTCTCATCAGTCCCTTGGCGGCGAACACCAGGCCTCAGGAGAGACTTCGATCCTGACTCCCCAAGGTCTAGGCCATGAGCCCCATCATAGTCCCCCAGCTTTCCAACTGGCCGCCGAGGGGACCCACACCCCTCCTGGCACCTGGCTACCTCCCCTGAGCAGATAAGGCCAGGTGTCCACACCCGCCAGCCCCAGGGACCCCAGGTTAGGCAGGGGCCCAATCACACAAGGGCTGAGGCCCTGTCCCTGATAGGAGGAAACAGGCCAGCCGGGCCCCCACCTTCTTCTTCAGCTCCACACTGATGGCGTTGGCCTCCTTGAGAAAGATGGCATTGCCCCACAGCAGGTCCCGCAGGGACGTGAACTGGTACCACTTCCACTTGCGGAAAGCCCACAGAGCCAGCTCACACTCCCGCTCTGTCCACTGGACTGTGGGGAGGCCACCAGGTCAGCAGGGAAGTCACAATCCTGACACCACACCCGCCCCGCACCTGCCCCGCAAGGCCAGGTTGGCTGGCTCTGTGTCCCCCGGGCAGAGTGAAAGACAAACCATGGAGGCCAAATGAGGGAGGAGGGCGGCTGGCCCGAGGAAGGACTGGCCCGGGGCCTCCACCCTCTCTGAAGTTGTGGACACCCCTCACTTGCTGGGTCTGGGCTTTGTGTGTGGGAACTCAAAGTCACTCCGACAGCTCTCAGTGCAGAGGAGAAAGTACTAGGAAAGGTCTGCCAAGCAGAAAGCTCAGAAGAGGACAAGGGGCTGCCCTCCCCATCAAAGGCCCTCTGCCCAGCGCCCTCAGAGGGAGGCTGTGGCAGGTGCAGCAGACTCATGTGGGTCTCACAGGGCGTACCCCTGCCAGCACACCAAGGGCCCCAGCCCCCTGCCAGCACAGTGTGTGTGTGCACATGAGTGTGTGTGTGCACATGCACAAGCTGCAGCACAGCCCTCCAAGTCCTGCCCTGCAGTGCTCCCAGTCAAAGGCCCTTCACCTTCATCCTCCAGCTCCTCCTCCTCCTCCTCGGCCACCTCCGGGTAGTACCTGGACTCCATCTGCTTCTGCAGTGCCTCCAGCTTGCTCTCATAGTCCTGCAGAGAGGCAGGGCCTGGTTCCCTACACCATGGAGACCCAGGGGCCTCACCCATCCTCCAGGTGCCAGGGAGAGTGGGTGGCAGGGGTGGCCAGGCATTCTCACCAGCCGCTGCTGCTCCAGCAGGTAGGTGGCCTCCTCACGTTCCCGGCGGTACTGGTCCTCCAGCTCCTGGAGCCTGTAGGCCGCAGGGGGTGAGACAAGGTGGATGGGCTGAGGGGTGTGCGGGCAGGTGGCAGCCCAGGGCTCACCTCTGCTCCATCTCCTGCTTCATGTCGATGCCCTGCTTCTCCAGCAGCTCACGCTGTGCAAACGCCCAGTCCACAGGCTCAGCAGGTGTCTCTGTGCAGGGTGTGCGCTCGCGCTCCTGCCGGGCCTGCTCGGGGTGGTTGAAGCGGAACACGTGGCTCTTACCCATGATGATACGGTTTCCTGTGGAGGGAGGCAACGCCGGCCTTGGGGTCCTGAGACCCAGAAGGGCTCCAGGGGGTTAGGAGAAGGGAGGAGGGGTGCAGGGGTTTCCTCCATGCCCTCCACAGATGACCTCTTGGTTCCACCTGTCTGCGAGACCCAGGCGGGGTACAGCCCAACCGCAGGGTGGTGCCTGCTTTCTGCCTGGTCCTGCTCAGCTCTCTGGACAGCTTCATTTCTGATTTTCAGTCTCTACTCGGCTTCCACCCCAGCCTAGGGTCAGTGCCCTGGTCTCCCTATCCTTGGGCTCAAGCACCAGGAGGAAAATCCAAGCCAAGGTCGTCCTCAGCCGAGACCACCTGAGTCTCAGGGTCCACATGGCTGGCAAGGTGACCTTCTGATTCAGGGTGACCCTGGGGTCCTCCCTTCAAAGGAAGGACAGTCCTGACAGCTCCTACTAGAAGCCAAAGGTCCTTTGGGAGTGGCCACAGGCTGGAATCGGGCAGTGCTGTTGCCTCCCTGCCTCCCTACCACCAAGGCGGCCAGAGGGATCCTGCCAGTTCCCAGCCAAGAACTCACGCCTGGCCATAGGTGATACTGTAGGAACTCTACCTGCCATGTGGCCAGGCTGTACCACCTCTGATGCCACCTGGTCTAGCTCTACCATGGTTGCTGTCCAGGTGATCAACACCTGCAGCAGATGACAATAGTGGGCTTAGCATTCGACCTGCAAACCGAGTCCTCCCCAGCCCAGACACCTGCCTGCCACCTGCCTGTGGGTTTAGTCCTGGCCAGCAATCCCACACTCATGTAAACCAGTTCCTTGACACAGATCTTACCTGTGTGTCTGTGTGACGACACTCATTGGCCTATAATTCCGCACCCATGCATCTTTGTGTTAGTGCTCCCAGCCTGCAGCTCTCTGTCTACGCGTTTGTTTGGCACACCCCCCAGCCCACAGCTCTATGCCTCTGCGCCTAGGGAACAGGACTCACCAGCCTACAGCTGCACCCCACCTGTGCCCCGCTGCTCCTGGTCTCTGTAGAGCCCAGCAGAAGGAAAGTGCAGCCACTCAGCACAGCCACCTTCATATCTCTCTGACTTTCCTAAGCAGAGATTTCATACCGGGTGCTTGGGGTGTACATCAGGGCATCAGGGCCCTCGATGCTCATGGATGAAGCCACATTGACTGTTCTGCTATACCTCAGCTTGGCCCAGCATCCATGCCCTGCCACTCCCCAGAACCCAGCCCTGCAGAGCAGCCACTCCGAGCCACTGGAGCAGGCTATGCCTTTAGGGGCTTCACAGGCAGCAGGGGTGATTCAGGCCTAGAGACAGAGGCTTTGCAGGATGCCCATCTACCCCGCAGCCTCCACATGCCCCCACTGTACCTGACCGCAGGATGCTGGGCTCTGTCACTTTCTTGCCATTGACGTAAGTATCTGCACCCTCGCAGGGCTCCAGGGTCACCACAGCTATGGGGAGGACGGTGAGGGCTTGTCACTGCAGAGCGCAGCTTGCTGGGACCCAGGGTCCCTCCCAGGTTGCCCTGCTCCTGCTGGATGCACAGCCTGACCACTGGCAAGGGCCCATCTGGGCCTTGGAGGAGCCGGGGTGGGACCTCGCCCAATAACACAGGAGGAAAGTGACCCCGGCAAGTTCAGGGCAGGGAGGCTGCCCCAGGCCCCACCCAGGACTGCAGGTGGACGAGGTGAGAAACACTGGTGAAGCTGTCTTGGAGGGAACGGGGACCTGCAGAAAGGAGCATTCTGGAGGAGACAGCTGTCCCAAAGCTGCTGAGGGCCACTATCCTCAGGTGGCCAAGGTGGACAGTGGGCCAGAGGCTGGCTGGATGTCTGCCTGGAGATGTCTGAGCTCAGTGCCATGGGATGGCAACAGCACGGCAATGCCACAGGCCCACACCAAGCAAGGCAGTGTCACCTTCTGGAGGAAGGTGGGGGCAGGAGGGAAGATGAACAGATGGCTGCTCCACAGCCAACACGAAAGTGTCGCAGAATAGCTTTCTATCCCAGAGCCCAGCTCGCTACCTGCCCAGACGTTCCACATGCACTGCTGGACACACACTCCCTGTTCTCCTGCCTCACAGCCTTCACAGAGGCTATGGGAGACACTGGGCACCCTCCCCAAGTGTCACACACACACCACGCACATTCTGGCATCCTGGCCAGAGCATGCCCTGAGAACCATTCCGAGCTGGGTGGGGTGGGCTGTGACTGAGCTACCTTCGCTGCCTCCCCGCATGTCGCTCCGGAAGACGCAGTGCTCCTCCTTGATGAAGTGCCCGCTCAGGACAATGTCCTGCCGTCTCTCTGCATCCTCCCTGCCCACTCTGGGGGAAGAGGGTGTCATCAGCACTGCCCAGGGACCCAGCTGGGATTTCTTGGGAAACACCCAGGGGGTGTGTGGGAGTGTGGGGGACCCCAGACCCAGGGGACCCACTGAGCCCAGAGGCCACAGCCTTGCTCCAGAAGGGCACATGGCAGGCGGTGCCATCAGCACAGGCTCAGTGGCTCTTGGTGGGGCAGTGAAGGCTGCAGGAAGAGGGCATCTCTGCCACTTCCACCCCTCGCCTGGCCTGGTTGCGTCCCACCTGGTGATCCCGTCCTTGATGTAGTAGAGGAGGCACTCGGACATCAGTGGGTCCTCGTTCAGGTTGACCAGATGCGGTGTCTGAGGGGATAGGAGGGTCAGCTCTTTGGGGAGGGCAGGAGCCCAATCTGCCCACCTGCCTGACCTCGTCCCAGTCCCAGGCCACCACCAGTCCCAGGCCCAGCTTCTCACAATGGTGTCCTCCCTGCCTGGCTGAGTTGATGGGAGACAGGAAAGGAACAGCCCTCCCAGGAAGAGCCTTTGGACCCATGGCTTTCTGCACATGCCTGACTAGGAAGCAGGTTCACCAGACACCGGCTCCAACCAGCCCGCACCCAGGCCCAGCTCACCCTGCAGGCAGGGCTGCCACAACTCTGGGGCACCAGGCCCACATAGCTCAGGTCTGTAGCCTGGGCCTGGCTTTCCAATCTTGTCCCAGCCTCAAGGGACCCTGTCCACACCTCACACAGCTAAAGGACCCATCTGATGTCCCAAAGCCAGTCAGACACCCAACTACGAGGACCAGGGGCAGAGTCTCCCTTGCACAGGAAGTCTGGTTGCAAGGGAGGGAGACCACCTAATCCTGGCCAGAGCCCTACCCCACTCCCCTCCTTCTGGGGACCCTGATGGCCACCAGGGACAGTGTCCCCAGAGGCAGTGTCCCATCCCTGTCAGGGCAGCACCACAGCCCAGGCCCAGTTCCTACCTTTTTGGGAGAGAACACGCCCAGGGTGCCACCATCCTCCCGCATGGCCACGCCCATCTCAGCCAGTAGCGCTTCCCTGGGGACAGTCAGGGTCAGCAGGGCTCCAGGACTGGCCTCAGCCCTGCCTGACCAACTGCCTGAGCAGCCTCCTGCCTGGTCAGCCAGCTGCAGCAACCCCAGGAGACCATACCTATGCACATGCCCACCCAGGGGCAGGCCTCCCAGGCCTCCAGGCCAGTGCCACATGGGGTCAGAGGAGGCAGTGGGATCTGAGGCAGGGATACGGCCATCCCAGGGTCATCCTGCTTGGGCTGTGAACTCCCGGGCTAGTCCAGGCCTCAGTGTCCCCACCAACACATACCTCTCCATCCGAATGGCTTCTGTCCGTCGAAGCTTCTCTTCCCAGGTCTCATTGAGCTCAGCAATGATCTTCTCTGTTTCCTGGGGAGCAAAATGGAGTACAATGAGGTGCCAGGTGGGGTGAGGTGGGTGGCAGAGATGTGAGCTAGGAAAGGGTTGGAGACCACTGGGCCCATCTGGGAGCCAAGACTCACATCCAGGGCCCTGCACCTCAGTGTTCCGATCCCCGGTCACTTGGGCCACCTGTCTCACCAGCCTTGGGCTGGGCCTCTGTGCCTCCCCTGACCTTGGGCCTGGGCTCTCACCACTTCCCTGCACAGTCGCCCCTGCATAGCCACTCTACAGGGGCCTGCAAGTGGTGCTGGGGGCCAGGGCACCACCTTCTCAGCATGTGCAGCTTGTAGAAGCACACAGGAGTGTGCTGCACACAGGCTGCTGGGGGCTACAGGATGGGGACCCACTCTGTACGTGGACGCTGCCTGGCCCACTTCCGTGAACAAACATCAGCTCATGCAACTGCCGAACTATCTCAGCCTGGACATCTCACACCTGCGCCACACATCGGGCTCCCAGACCCAGGGTCCTCTGGGCACTGTCTGCCCAGCAGCTCATCTGCTCAAGGGACAGATGTTCTGTAGCCCAGCATCTGGACATACTGCGTGGATGGGCTGAGGATGGGCCACGGCTCATCTGGCTGCCACACTTCTCCAGCTGCATCACCCAGCCCCATGTAGGCCGCCTGCATCCGGGGTAGAGGCCTCTCTTTTCTCTAAGCTCACTCTCTCCTAGCACCCAGCACCCCATCACCCACCATGGCACCCAGTTCAGCTGACCCTCACCTTCAGCCTTTCGATGGCCTCCTCACTGCCTGGAGCAAACAGGATGCGCTCATGAAGGCTAGACACGGAGGCTGCACGGCTGGACAGAGCAGAGAGCGAGGACGAGGGGCTCATGCCCACCAGGGCATTGGTCACTGTGGAGAGAGGGTCAGGGGCTGGACTCAGGGCAGCCTCATTGTGGTTACAGTTATTGTTCTCAAGGTCGGACAGGTCTAAGGCAGGTGAGGTAGACAGGTAGACAGCAGGGAGAGAGAAGAGAGACACAGTTGGGGAAAGGACAGATGCGGACCAAGAGAAGGCCAGAAACACAAACCAGCAGCAGCCCGAAAGGACCAGGATATGCGCATGCAGGGCCTTGCTGTCCCTCAGCCTCAGGGCTGGGGCTTTGGCCACTCTCACTCCCTGCAGCAGCACCATGGGCCCTCTGCACCCTGTGGGCTCTACTCTGCCTTCCCCTGTCCCAGGACCTCCATCTGCACCCAGCCCAAGTGTGCCAGCCACTCGCAGCTGGACATCCTAGGGCCGGGAGTGTACAGCATCCCCCAGGCCTTTGTTCTTCCTGCACCTCAGAGCTTCAGGGTGGGCTGCACTAAACACCCAGCCATGTGAACACACTGGCCCAGAGAGCGCATGGAGGAGAGCAGAGGACCTCGGAGGGCGTGCCTGTCCTCCACCAGCCCCACAGCACCCCAGGAGGGTGCCCAGCCCTCCCTCGCAGAAGCAGACAGAGCAGCAGCCAGCAGCAGCGCTGGGCATTGGGGAGATGAAGGGGACTCCCAGCCCCAGGCCAAGGCAGCCAGGGAGCCAGGAGGACTTGGCAGCACCCACCAGGAGCGACCACACACTGGCGCGCGCGCGCGTGTGTGTGTGTGTGTAGACCAGGCTCGGGCTTGGGTGCAGGTGGGGAGGCAGCGGCATCCTGACCTTTCCAGATCAAAGGTCTGCCCTCAGCTACTGTAGGCTCGAAAGGGCCAAGATGTACCCATTATCCATGGCTCAGTTTTCCACATGGATGGGAGGAACTCAAGAGTGAGGTCACCCACTCTGCAGTTCTGAGGAGGGAGTCCAGACCCCACCCTGCCCGCGCTGCCCTGTGCCCCTGCGGCCGGGAAAAAGCCGTGCAGAGCAGCAGTGGGGAATACACACATTTGGGTCCTCCAGGCACAGTGTTGGCTACGGGGAGGGCAGGCGTGGGGAGAAAGACAGAAACAGAAGAGCAGGCTTGGGTCCAGAGGGTCTGTGCACCCAGCTCTCAGGTGTGTGATGGCAGGCAGGTGGTGGAGATCTTCAGCGTGGGACAGGGCCAGCCAACCCCCAGACCCATGCCTGCCACAGGCCCCAGGAAGTCGTCCCTGGCCTGCTTGGGCCAGCTCCAAACCTGGGCCATGCAGTTCCATCCGGGCCAAGGCCAGAACACTCACCCTCCCACCCAAAGGAAGCTCTGCCCCAGAGCCAGGGCAGGGACCCGGAACTCCCATGCCGCCTCCCCCAGCCCTGGTGGCAGTTGGCAGGGTGGGGTCCCAGAGAAAAAGTGTGACACCCATGGCCGTGCCCAGGACATGACCAGCAAAAACACTCACTGTCGGTGATGTCACCGAGACCCTGGGCGTAGAGCAGGTCCCGAAGCCGGGTCACCTCATCCTTCAGCTCTCGGATCAGCTTGTTGTTGGGGTCCTCATTGATGACAGCATTACAGCGGATCTGCTTGGCGCGGTCAGCATACCTGGGCAGCCACGGGAGGTGTGGGCTGAGGGCAGGTCTGTGCCCAGGCCCTAGTGTGTCCAGAGCCCTGCCTGGGCACCAGCTCAGCCTGGCATCCTATGAAGTCACCCCACCATGGCCACTGTGAATGGCCTCCAAGACCACTGACCAGGGAGAACCTCAGGAGGGCCACCCAGCCTGCCTCACTGGTGCCCTCCAGGAAACTGCGGTCCAGGTATGTGCAGACATGAGACATGTACCCAGAGTGCTTGCTCAAGGAGCCAGAGGCCACCAAGCTCAACAGCTATACATTCACCTATGTCCCTACTCAGGGTCCCCAAGGCCCACTCATGCCCCTCTGCCCCCGAAAAACCCCTGCTCCCTTGGCCAGCAGCACACAGCTCTCCACCCTGGTCCCACAGGGCACTGGGCACCTTCAGTCCCAGAGGGCACACAAAGGGTGGCAGGGACAGAATGGCTGTGAGCCTTGGAGCCCCACGACATCGCCTCCAGCCTCAGGGTCCTGGTGAATCCCCCAGAGGCAGCCCCACCAGACTGCCCATTCTCCTAGGATGGATGGGATCCCCTCAGAACACACCTCAGCGTGCTGAGGGTCTCGTCATAGTTGATATCTGCAGGACTCAGAGCTGCCACCATAGCCGTCCTCGAGTTGCCACCTATGGGAAGACCACCAGCCTGTGCCAGGGGAGCACCCAGCCTCCATTCTACCTGCACTCACAGACAGGGATTCTGACCCAGAGAGGAAACTGAGTCACAGGCCACCCAGGGTACAGACAGTAGAGGGGCTGCCATTCCCTGGCCACCCCTCAGGCCTCCTCCTCATTTCTCCTTCTCATTTGCGTATGTTCATCTCACATCTGAGGCCACCCCTTCCCTGCAGCAAAGCAGCAAACCCTGGAGAGTTTCACAGAATTTCCTCCAAGATGAAAGCTACTCTGCTTAACACGCCTTCACACTCCTCCATCACTCTCATCTGAAACACCTTTCTCAGTATATAACGCCGGCTTCCTGGACCAGGTGCTGCACTGTGGGGACACCAATGGCTCCATTTCTCTCTGGAGGTAATGGCAGTCCCCTTAAGGTCCCACTGACCCTGCCCTGGCTCTCAGGAGCCATCTACGAGCCCCAAGTTGAGACAGATGGTCTTGCCTGCTCGATCTTGGGCCCGGGCCCCTGGGGTGCAGCTCCCTGTGAGTTCCTACAGGGACTGTGAGGTGACAGTGTGAAGGGCCTGGGAGGTGCCATACAGGTCCCAAGGTAGGTTCTATGGGGGTCTCTCCCTGTCCCCACCCTGGGGGTGAACACAGCCCGGCCCTCGGGGGAGGCCTTCTCCCCAGGCCACTCTCAGGGGAAGAAAGGGACACATGCTGCTGTGACTCTACTGTCCCTTCTTGGCTGGAACTGGCCTGGAAGCCTCCTCTAGTGAGGCCCATGTAGGGACTAGCCTGGCTGGCTGCGGGGTACAGTCATGCATCCAAGGGGGCCAGAACCCCTGGTTGTTCAGCCTAGGCCTCCGCTGGGCATTGGCCTCTGCAGCTCTGATCCTTGCAGGGAGGACCTTGAGGACCCTGGGGAAGGGCGGTCCAAGGCAGGCACTAGGCCTGGTTCAGTCCTCACCTCCCCACCTACCTATTGCCCAGAACTCAGGTGGGGAGGAGGGGACCTTACAGTGGCTCCTCCAGGCCCAGTGGGCAGTTAGGGCTCTCTGGAAACATGGAGCCCCAGGTCCCTGACGCCAGTGAGAACATGAGAGCCAGAAAAGGGTGAACATGTGCTCTGGGTGTCACTCCAACCTCACAAAGGAGAGCTGGCCCCAGGATGGGTGTGGACAGTGCCCAAGCCACGCTGGCCCCCAACTTGCTTTGGTTAACTCTGTCCACCCCTGCCCCAGGTCTTGCAGAAAGGCTGTGCTATGAACAGCCTTGGTCAGCAAGTGTGGGGTCCCCTCTGCTGGGCACCCCCAGGCAGGAAGATGGGTAGCCCAGAGTCCCATGAGTGCCCCAGGGAGAGGGGATCCTTGAGTCCTCACCCAGGTTTTCCCGGAGGAGCCAGGTCAGCACGGAGTCTCGGTAGGGGATGAAATCTGTCTTCTTCTTTTTCTTGTTCTGTAGAGATAGTCGAGGTCAACCCTCAGCTGCTGGAGCGGGCAGGAGGGAGGAGCGCCAAAGCCAAAGACCAGGGTGGGGGGCCAGGCAGGGCCAGCTGGGCTGCCATTTCCTCACCCTGAACCCCAGGGCGCCACCTCTGGGCCCCTCCACTCTGGGCTGGAATCAAGGACATGCTGGCCACCTGTTTCTTCCCTCCTCTGTGAGCTGCGCCATACTCAGCAGTGCTGGTGTCACTGGCCAGCTCAGTCCCTCTGCTGGGGGAGGGACCGAGTGGGGCCCATCGCCCCCACCTGAGCCCTTCAGGGCTTCTCCTGACCAAAGGGAAAAGGCCCCAGAAGTGCAGCGTCCCAGGCCCTTGGCTCTGCCGAATCCCCAGCACCCCTCTCCCCTTACATGTGGAATCCTCCCGCACTCTGCCCTCAATGCCCTCCCTAAGAGTCTGTCCCCACCCTGCCCTCAGCATGAGCACCTCTTCCATCTGTTCCTTCTGTGGCCCTGTATTCATGCTAACCCCAAATGGAACGCCCTGCCAGGTAACGGCTGTCAGGATGTTTCCTATGCACTCAAGACTGGCCTGACTCCACTCACTGGGGACGTCGTTCACTTTGGTCTGTGCACACCTGTGCATAAGAGCACAGCTGTGGCCCCCAGACGCAGTCCTGCAGGAGCCCACAGTGGGGAGGGCACTCAGCGCCCCCTGCAGGACAGCTCTGAGCACAAAGAGATGCATCCCTGTTCTCTGGGGGTGATCCCAGGAGCCTCTTCTGTTCATAGACATTGTGACACATCATCAAAGCAGGAGTCAGCAATGCCACAGTGGCTTCTCTGTGAGCAGGGCTATGGGGTGCCTGGCTGCTGCACGTTGAGTGCTTTCTTTCTCTTAGAAGTTGGTAGAAGAAAAAGTGCTTCCACTTTGCTTTTCGATTAGTTCCTGAGGTTCTCTGCCTATGTCATGCTCTTGTTTGCACAGTGAATACCCTGCACACTCAGCCCCTTCAGTAAGGGTTCAACGTCTGCTCTGGTTCCTCTGCTCCTTCCTCGCCTCTCACTCTACCTGTAACCCCCAGAAACCAGCACTGCCCCACTTCCCTACCCTCCCAGCCTCTGCCACCTCAAGCCTGGCCACTGCCACCCTGGCTCTCTGTTCTGATGGCCTCACTCCCCATCTACTCTTGATGCAGCACCCAAGCACCTTTCAGACCAGATGGGACTCTATGAACACTGCTCAACTCCATCCTCTGCTTCTCGTTAAACCGCCATCAACCAGTAGCCCTAGGCCAGACACCTCAGATCACCTTCTGGCCCTGTCCCATCACCTATGTGCCCCAGGCCTCCCATTCCCTACCTCAAACAGCCCCAAAAACCTTCAAAGTCCAAAGGCAACTGCTACCACAGTCCCTCATGGGGTGATCACATGGCTCTACCAAGTCTCCCATGTCACCTCCAGTCCCTACGCAACCCTCACAGTCCCACAGTGCCCCTCAGAGCTCCCCACACAGCTCCTCAAGCTCCACTCTGGCCTTCCGGTCCCTCACAGGTGCTCCTGGCCATCACGAGACTGCACTTCTCAATTTTCCCCACACCATTCCTCAAGTTTCCCCAAATCTCTTCACATCAGTCCCTTCACATTTCTTCACAACACCCCAAGTACTTACTACATAGTTCCTTAAAATTTGTCACAGTTCATCATCACACCTTCCCCACAAAACTCCACACAATTCCCTTCACAGTCCTCCGCATAACCTTTGCATGGTTCCACTCAGTCACAGTCCTCTGCACATGCTCACACAGCTCTACACATGGAGCAACACAATCCCCCACAGCATTCTCACAATTGTCTTTCACATGGCTCCTCCTGCATTTTCCCAGAACATTTCCTGTGTTCTTGTGTTCTCTACACATCCCTCACACAGTTCTCTCCATTCCTCAGCTTTTTATCAGTCTTCATGGTCACACACACACACACACACACACACACACACTCACACACACACACACACACTCACACACACACACACACACTCACACACACACACACACACTCACACACACACACACACACTCACACACACACACACACACTCACACACACACACACACACTCACACACACACACACACACTCACACACACACACACACACACACACACACACTCACACACACCCTCACACAGCTCCCCATGTGGCTACTCAGGTTTTAAGCTGTCCACATGGCTCTCACAGTCCCTTCCAAGTTCCTACACTGTCCCCAACACTCCATATTTCTCATAGTTCCAAGTCCACATTCAGTCTCTGACAATACCCAACACAATTCCACACAGCTTCCCACGCCATTGCATGGCCTTTGTCTCACATGTCCACAGATCCTCACAAGTCATGTTCTTTCCGGGCTCTGATTGTCCACCACAAACTTCTTCACGCACTTCCCTGAGTCTCTCACAGTTCCTCAGACAGCTCTCCACACATTTCCTCAGCATTCCTCACACAGTTCACCAGCCTAAGCCCCACTTGTTCCCACATTCTTCAGTCTACAGCAGTGTATCCGTTGTCATCAGTTTCCCACATTCCTCTCTTTTCTCACTTTTCACACCTCTTCACACACTTCCCATATAGATCGCCATACACTTCCTCTTGCTTTCTCACACACATGTCCCCAGTCTATCATAGTTGCCCACTCAGTTTCCCGAATTCCTCACACAATTCCCACTTTCCTTACTCCTCCTTACACACTACTCACAATGCTCCTCACACAGTTCTACACACCTTTGTGCACACTGCCTCTATTTCTTCTTGCTCCCCACGTGCACCAGCCTCTCCCACCTCCACACATCACATCAGCTCTTCCAGCGACATGGAAGAGTTGCCTGGCTGCTGCCTCTGCCTGGCTGGCTCCTGTCTGCTCCTCAGGTCTTTGCTTGAGGCCACCTCCTTCATAAAGCCTTCCACACACACTGTCTCATTTATGGGTCACTTCAATAACCAGTTTTTCTTTCACAGAATCCACTCCAAGTTGTAGCTGTGTGTTTTCCCTTTTATGTTCCATGTTACTGTCTACCCTACCCCAAACCTGCACTGAGGAAACAGAAGACTGAGCTGTCCCTAGAGCGAGCTCCACATTGGGGCTCATGTGGGAGACAGGACTAAGGGGACTCTCTCCCTCCCCTCTCCCTCAGGATTAAAGGAAGAAGCTCACCTTATTGGGTCCAGAGTCCTGAAAACGAAAGGACAGAGAGTCTGAGGCCTTGGAGTGAGGTGGGAGCCAGGGTATGGGGGAGGTAACAGGTTCGCTCAAAAATGACAGAAGAGTGGACAGAGGCCTGGGCATGTGCCAGGAGCCCACCACTCAATGCCCAGCCATGCTGGCCACCCTGAGCCAGTCTTTCAGGCAGGTCAAGTGACAGTGTGACCTCTCAGGCTACGGTCACCCAGCATCCCCCAGTACCCCAAAGTTTCACAGTAGGGAGGGTCTACAGAGGTCATCCTTCCCTGGTCTGCCAGCTGGCGTCTTGGTTAATGGCAATGCTGCCCATCCTCCAGGCCCATCTTGCTTAACCTCCTTCTGAGGACTGTGCCCTCTTGCAAGATGGCCTGGACTGGGCCAACAAATGTCAGAGCTGACCTCAACCTGCTCGAATGGCCCATGGTGACCTTCAAAAGAGCCTAGGGAGGAAGTCACACATCTTCATTTTACAGGCGGGGGAAACTGAGGTTCCAGGGAGTACAAACACCACTACTCCATCTTCAGCCTCATGATGCTCCCCATCTCCGGGCTTTCCTGTGCACCGCTGCCACCTCGCCAGAGCTGGTGCCTGGGACCAGGTATGCCAGGCCCTAGTATCTTCCTCAGAAAGCAGGAGAGACCTCCTCCCCAGTCTGTCTCTACAGGCCTGAGCCCCACTCACCATTTCTGCCAGGGCAGAGATGACTTTCCCCAGCGTGGTCAAGGACTTGTTGATGTTGGCGCCCTCCTGTGTGTGGAATGGGTGGTCCATGTCAGAGGCATCAGGAGCCTCATGGCATGGGCCTGAGCCCCAGCCCTGACCGCTGACCTCTGGGGCCACCAGGGGCTGGGGATGTTGAAACAGGAAGTCAGTCAGGGGCCCACCCAGCGTGTTTCTTTGGCTCCATGGGCATCCTAGCAACACGCTGCCGGTTCCCATCTAGTACAACTTCCAGTATTCCTTCCCAGCCACAGGGCACAATAGGGACCAACAACAGGTACAGGAAACTGAAACTGCCTCTTCCTGTTCCCACAGGGGACACTGGCCAACTGGGGGCCTGCATTCCTTTTGGGCCACGTGAGGGCCAGTGTCTGGCCAGGACTTGGTCCTTGTTCACCTTAGCCATTGCCCTGCCCTCTCTGCTCAGGCTTGCTCTCAGACATGGCCTGGCTACTCCAGCCTGAGTATGCCTCCTGCCCCGCCCAACCTGGCCTCACCAGCAGTCCGCTCTTCCAGAGGGGCCTAGTGGCCCAAACCTACCTTGAGGCGTGTGCCCTTGGCCCCAGTGGAGTCAGCCCTCTCACTCCCGGCCAAGTCCACCAGGCTGATCTTGCTCACCTGGAAAGGCAGAGGCCACAAGGCTGATGCAGGGTGTCCTGCTCCCTCAGGGATGGCCACAAAAGCCACTGTGGAGCCACAGACAAGCCCCTCCCCTAAGGTCTATCTCCCACCAATCCTCCTATGCCCCTGCTCCCAAAAAGGAGCCAAATACTGCGAATTTTCACAGCTGGCTGCTGCTCATGCAACAGAACAGGACTCTGCATGTTCCTGTGCGGTGTGGCCTGTTACTGTTGCCCCTTCCACAGATGGCTGCTCCAGAGGGCCTGGCTACCACCCAGCTGCCCCACAGGACCCACAGAGAGGTGGCCACCCAGGGAGGCTCAGCCCCTCCAAGCCAAGGGACCCTGAACAGGCCATGGACAGAGTGGGGCCCCAGCTGACCTGGCTCCAGCTGGACACTCTCCCCTGGTCCCCAGGCCTTCCTCCCCAGCCTTCCTGAACCTCCCCTCTGTGCTCACAGTCAGAAGGATGGCATCAGGCTGAGGAGGCCGGGACCTTGCCCATCCCTGAAGATCCCACAGTGCAGCCTAGGGAGTTCCCACCCTGGAAGTTGGCCAAGAGGACAGCCTGAACCCCATCACCCCTGGCATGGGGTGGGAGAAGAGGAGGACAAAGAGGCATGGACATAGACAAGAGGCTCAGTGCCCCCACACTGCCCCTTCAAGAGCCCACAGGCTGGCGTGTGGGAGGACAGCCCTGCCCCATCCACTGAGCATGCCAGGGTGTGGGCAGATGCGGCAGGGCTGTGCTCTCCAGCACAGGGCCCCTTTGTGCCTAGAGATGCCGGCGCCCACCAAAGGCCCTGCTCCTAGTGCAAGGCCCTAGAGGGAGCGGGAACCTACCAGCCGCACCAGGGCCCATGGACTCTGATGGGCACTCACATGACCTGCCACCCACCTGTGCTGTGACCCGGGAGGATTGTCTCAGCCTAGTCCTACAGATGCGGGGCACTCAAGACACAGCCCATGGCAGGACAGAGGGGTGGACGCCAGGTCCCAAGGCCTCCGATGCCAGGCAGCCCCACACATGGAGATAAGTCATCCTCACAGGTCTGGCCACCACATGGAGCCTGCTGTTCAGTTTGCCATCCTCACCCAGGTGAACTCCCAGCCCAGCCCCACCAGAGCTCTGCCCTCGGTGGCAACCACAGTCACCTTCTCCGTGGTGATGTTGGTCTCTGCATCGTGACGCTTCTGGGTGAAGATGATGTTGAAGACAGCATGAGAGCGGCTGCTGGTCTCATTCATGTTTGTGGCCGCCACAGTCCTGGATACAGGAAGTGACTCTGGATCACTGCTTGTCCCACAGTCAGCACCAGGGATGCTGGTAGTGCCAACTCACAAACTGGGTCAGTGGGCCTCAGAGCCCCTGCTGCGGGTGGCTGTGCCTCCTCCTGCCAGAGCTCCAGCAGGGCCCCTCCAGTACACCACTGAGGTCCTCAAGCTGCAGGTGATTTGGGTCAGGAGTGTGGTCATCCAGGGGACAGAGCCTGAGGAGCCTGGGTCAGCCCAGGGCACCAAGGGCCAGAGATCCTCAAGGGCATGGAGAGGCCCTGCCAAGAATGTTCCTCGGGCTGCCAGAGTGGTTTAGAACCCCCTATGACTCAGGAGCTCAGGACGGCATGGACCTTACCCTCCCTGGAATCCCTGGGTGGCAGAGAGGGGGACAACTGCCACCTTGACAACTACAGCTCGTAGGAAGGAGGACCAAGGCAGCGGTGGCCACCTCCCTGTGAACCCAACCCTGCCTGCTGGCCTTCACATCGTTGGCTCCTGGGCCTGGCAGATCTGCTGCCCTTGGGGAACAAGAGGGGCCCCACAGGAGGCAGCCACTGCTGACCTTGCTTCACCCCCACTGCAGAGGGCAGGGCCCACGGAGGAGCAGCTTGAATGTGGTGACAGTGACCCCCACACAGGGGGAGCCCAAGGCCTCTCAGGGTGGCACATGTCCTCGCTGGTCTCATGCCTCAGGCCCACACCTTCCCAGGGGTCAGCCAGACCCATCAGGAGACCCACAGACACCCCAAGAACCATGCCAGTGGAAAGCAGAGAGTTGGGGGAGTTGTCCCCCACTCACCTGGCCTTGTTCCCTGAGTCCATGAGGTCCTGGATGTCATTGTAGGAGGTGACAGCCAGCTTGGAGAGGTCCTCCACATAAGGCCCCAGCAAGGGGTGCTCCCTCACACGCAGATTGCCCTTGTTTTTGGGGTTCAGGAGGTCACGGACACGCTCACAGTAGATCTCCATGTAGCTGACCTGTAGGGAAGGGGCTATCAGGGATGCCTGGGTGGCCCCATGGTGGGCTCCCAGTGAGTGTGGGTGCCAGCACACAGCTGCCTGCCTGGCCCTCCCCTGGGACTCACCAAGCAGCCCCTGCCCCTGTGGTCACATGGCTCAGAGGTGCATTGGCACAGGGCAGGCACTCAGCCCATGCCAGCCCTGTTGCTTTGTGCCCAGGGAGCCTCTGAGTACCACAAGACAAGCCAGCCAGCCCTTGTGGGGCCATGTAAGGACAGACTGGGGGTACAGACCTCCACAGAGTAGGACATGTTGTCATTGGTTGTGTCGTTGATCCGAGAGAAGAGGTCTTCACAGAGCTGTAGGGACAGGGGCACAACACGGTCAGTGAGTGAGGGCTGGCGGCCTCCTAGTGCCTCGCCCTGTGGCACTGTGGGCACCCAGACCCCCAGCAGACCCTCACAGTGCAGGTGCTACACAAAGGCACTGGGAAAGGCTGCAGCCAGGGACCAGGTCCTGCTAACCCTGAGAAGCATCTGCTGTCACCCTGTCCCTAACTGCGTGGGCACTGGGGTCCTGTCCTATGAGGACCCCAAGTTCTTCCTTCTTTGGGCAGGCCACAAGCTAAGTGCAAAAACTGGGGCAGGGGTGGGGAGGGCAGGGCCCCAGCAGCATCCAAGGAGCTACCTGTGACCCAGTGCTGGGTCATCCCGGGCTTGTGACCCAACATCCCATCCTAGCCCTCAGACCCCAGAGAACTAGGCCATCCCTGTGCAGACCCACCCCCACTGCTCTCCCTGCCCTGCCACATGCCTGGGGGATGATGCCCTGCTGGTCCTTCTCCTGCTTGCCCATCATGGTGTAGGATTTGCCGGCACCCGTCTGCCCGTAGGCGAAAATGCACACATTGTAGCCCTCGAAAGCGTGCTGCAGCATCTCCTCGCCAATGTCGCGGTACACCTGCTTCTGTGAGGCGTAGTTGATGTCCTCGGGCTGTGGGCAGAGAGGTACAGCTGCAGGAGGCTGTGTGCTCCCCAGCTCAGCTCCCTGCTCCCCATGTCTGGGGAGCCTGGGCTGGGGGCTCCAGGCCCCGCTGGCCACACAGCACAATGGGAGAGGAGCCTGCCCACCCCAGTCCTGCTTGAGGAGGGCCCTGTGGGACACAAGTGAAGGATGAGGAGCAACCGGGATGGAGGCAGTACTCAGGAGAGGAAACAGCAAGGCACTAGCCAGGGTGTCCGTGGCAGGGATGATAAGAGCTGGGACTGGAGGGCAGGCTGGGCCCAGCAGCCTGGGACCCACCAGTGGGGCAGTGGTGTCTGGACACCATCCTGAGGGAGGAGCCACTTTAGGCAGAGGCTCAGCCTGGCCCCAGGCAGAGTCACCCTGGGAGGAGGTCAGACTGGATGGAAGGCAGAAGTGGGGGACCAGGTGGGGAGATGTGCATGTGCCACAGGAGTTTGATGGGCAGTACTAGGTGCTTCCAGAAGGACCCATGGAGAGGTGGGAGGGCAGGGGTCAAGGGGCACTGGATGTGGGGTGGGAGGGCACCCCCTGGGCTCAGGTGTGGGCCTTTCTGAGTTTGGGGTGTTGGGGAAGTGGGGATCCCAGCTGGCAAGTGGACACACACACTCCAACCCTGGCAACACATGTGCCAGCTCTAGGCCACCCACCAGGAAACAGGGTGGTCCACACCCCACTCAAGGGAACCATGTGGTTTAGGAGGGCCATGCAGCAGGCGGGGCTGAGCTGGCATCGCACTGCCAGCCTGCCTGCCCAGCCCAGGCTCACCGAGGTGTGTGACCAGTAGGAATAGTCGAAGCTGAAGCTCTTCGGTGTCTCCTTGGGCTGTTTGGGGTTGATGATGGCTGCAGGGAGGGGACACAGGCAAGGTGGTTAGTTTTGCACTGGGGGCCCAGCCAGTCTGTACTCTGAGGCAAGAAGCCAGGGCCTCAGAGTTGTCTAGCTCCAGGCAAGCCCAACCAACCAGCTAGAGGGGACCACAGCTAAGCTTCCAGGAAGGTGGGTTGTTTCTGCCCCTCTGTGGTGGACTCTGCTGCCCACAGATGCCAAACACCATCGCCAGGCTGGGCCTGCAGAGCCCTTGCTCTCAGCTGAGTCTGACCAGGTTACTCGTTCTTGAAAGCATGGTGTCAAATCACAAGCCACAGCCCACCCTTCCCTGGGGTCCACAGCTGCCCCCCTCTGGAAAGCCCAGAGGCCCTGGGAGCCGGCAGGAAGGCACAGGTGACAGGCCTGTCCTCAGGGTAGAGGGGTCTCAATCCATGCTGCCCCCAGGGGTGGGTGGGCAGGAGAGCAGTCGAATGCTCCAACCCTGGCTGGGCCTAGGAGCAGTGTCATCCACAAGGTCAGAACTTGAGAACAGGTGAGGTCGCACGGCAGGAATGACAGCCACAGTCTCTACCCAAGCAGAGCCACACAGGGTCTTGATGCTCTGGCACTGCCTCCATCCATTCACCTCCTCACCCCTGCACTGCAAGCCAGGGCTCCAGCCCTGCCTGGTCCACTCAGCTCCAGAAACGCCTGGGCCCACAGCCAGTTGCTGGCCCCTTGTCTGGCACCTGCCCACTGGGTGGGGTTTGGGGGCCCTGGCCCTGGGTGTCATCATGCTCCCAAGGCAGGACCTCCCACAGGTGGTCCCCATGCTGAGTGGGGTGGGGTCGCAGACTCAAGCTGCAAATGGCCCTTGGGGAGTACCTCAGGCCTGGCACCCGCCTGTCCTCTTCCCAACCCCAGCTTGGGGGTTCTGTGGGTGGCTGGAAACACTTCAGTCATTACAGATGGGGTCCCAAGCTCCAGAGAAGAAACAGCCCCTCCAGGTCACTGGAGGATGGAACCCAGCATCCCCCAGGTGTGGCTTCCCACTGAGACAGTGGCTCTGCTGTGGTGGAGAGCACCTCCCTCACTAGGCCACCACTGCCCCTGCAAAAGTTCCAGGAGTGAGGCGGGAGAAATCAGCCCGCTTGACAGGCCGTACCCCAGGCCAGGCCCCCACCTTTTCCCACCCTGCATCAGCCATGCCCAGAGCTGGGGGCCTTCCAGGGAAAGACGCACAAAAGAAGCCTACACAGGACAGCCACCAGAGGGAAGGATGGTGGAGATGGGCCAGGCACTGTGCACAGGCGGGAAATGCACTCATGAATGTCCCCTCAGCCAGGAGCACACACAGCAGGGGAGAATGAAGCTGCTGCCAGGCAACAGAGTCTGCAGGGACACGACCATTTCCCCAGGGTCCCCATGAAGGCGGGGTCTGGAGGTGCAACCTTGGAAGGTGACAGGGCTGAACCTTGTGGGTTAACAGGAAGAGGAAGAGGCCAGAGGACACGGTGAGACACTGCCAGGCGCAGGCTGGAACAGGGCCTCACCAGCACAGTGCCTGTGGCCCTTGGGCCTTGGACTTCAGCCACCAGATCCAGAGGCACCTGTTTGCTCCTGAAGGCAGCTGAGGGATGCTGTGCTGCAGCCTAGGCACCAGGTCTCCATCCCTGGTCTCTAGGATGTGGGGCAAATGCTTCTGTCATCATCAGCCACTCAGTTTATGACACCTATTACAGTGCCATCTCCCTGCCATGCTTGTCTGGCTCCTGGTCACCTCAGGTGGGTCCAGTCCTGCCCATGATACACTTGCCAACACCTAGGCTCCAGGTCCCTGTCTGCAAAGCAGAGGCAGGGATGGGGCACCCTCGACCCTGGGGTCTCCCTGTGTGGCTAAGGGCTCAGAAGTGACCAGAATCAGGGGAGAATCCTGTAGCACAGGTAGGGGAACAAAGGGCACCAGCAGAGCTGGAAGAAGAGTGTCCCCACCACTGGCAGATTCTCTTATGTGTCGGGGGGACCTGTCACCAGCCAGCACCTAGACCAGCAAAGGATGGGCTTCTAGAAGTGCAAGAGTCTGCCCTTCTGTAAGCAAGGGTGGAGCTGCAGAGCAAGAGATGTGCACGGCCACTGCTGATGCCCAACCAGCATTGCGTCAATGGCAGGAGCACCTGCATGGCAACCCAGCTGGCTCAGAGCTGCCAGGTCTGGGGCTTCCCACAGAGAGCAAGGATTACAGGACTGTGGGGCCTTGAGATGCCCCAGGGCACCCTGAAACTCACCCCGACGCTTAGTAGGCCTGGGAGACACCTGGGCAGCCCTGCCTGCAGATCCGAGGACCCCAGCCCCTGGCAGCCCCTGCAAGTCCAGGGCCCACAGGCCAGGGGCTTCGCACGGCTAGCCTCCATGTGTGGGTGAGGCTCTGCCGTCCTTCTGTACCCCAGGACCAGGACACTACTGATACTGACTGCTTGCTACCCAGCACAGGATGACAGCAGCACAAGACCTAGGCGCACACTGAGCCCAGCCAGCCTCAGAATCGAGGTGGCAGGTGGTTCTCACCCTAAGACATTGGGCTTCGAGCTTCAGGGTGGACATCTGCCACCACAGACAGCCCAGATAAAGGAAGGGATTGCAGAGGACCTCAAAGCAAGCTTGAGCCACCAGAGTAGGGAGCCAGGCCAGTGGCTCCCCATGGTGGAAGAAACAAGAAGCTGGGCACAGAGGGGCCACTGGGTCCCCATTGTGACTGCTACCTGCCCAGGTGCTGGGCCCATGGTGGGCCCACCTCATGAGCCGACCTCCTGGGTGTATGTCTGCTACAACTCAGTAAACACCATTTCTAGTGGAACACAGAGCCAGGAAGAGGTGCAGAAGCCGATTCCTTCCCTCCCTCCCATCTCCAGCAGGCAAATCCTGCTACTCAGGAGATCCTGGGGGGCAGGCCTGTCCTCCAGGCCACTGGACATCACCATCCTCACTTCCTGGTCCTCCTTTTCAAATTTGGGTCAGGTCTCCTGAGGTCAGAGGACTGGGTGGCTCACAAGGAGAAAGTGGGAAAAGCTAGGGCAGGAACTGTGCATACTAAGCTAAACAGTGTTTCCTCACAACTCTGCACTCCAAGGAATCTCAGAAAGTGGCTTTATCTGGAAACAGGTATTTAAAGATGTAGTCAAACCATGCACAGTGGCACATGCTATAATTCCAGCACTCTCAGAGGCTGAAGAGGAGGATCCAAGTTCAAGCCTACTGGCAAGTTAGCGAGACCCCGTCTCAAAATAAAAAATAAAAAGAAGGCTGGAGACATAGCTCAACGCAAAGGCCCTGGGTTCGATCTCTAGTACCACAAAAACAAAACAAAACAAAAGATGTGGTCGGTTATTAACATGAGGCTATCCTGGACTCATACAGGATCCAGGACCCTTCCAGGGAGGCCACATGGAAATGCAGACACAGACAGCAGAGCAGGAGGCCTGCAACAGCGGAGGCAGAGAGGGGCAGTGTGGCCACAAGCCTGGCTGGACAATGACCACCAGAAACCAGAAGAGGCAGGGAAGGTCTCAGGCACTCAGCAGTGTGGCCCTACACACTCCTGACTTCTGACTTCTGGCCCTGGAACACCGAGAGCCTGCTGTTTTTTAAGCTATGTTATGACAGCCCCAGAGCTGCACAGGCCAGCGCCAGTTGAGTGTCTGACGGGGCACAGGGCTGGCACAGCTGACCCTGAGCCCGGTACTCACTGGTGGTGCTTCCCGACATCTGGATGATACACTTGGAGTCACGGCTCATCTCCCGGGAGTTGAAGGGGCGGACACGCACCGCCACCTTCACAGAGGCCCCGGCCATCTCTGCAGCCTCAGTCAGTCACTCCCAGCAGTGGCAGGAGCCCCAATGAGTGTGGAAGAGACCTTTGGAAAAATGGAAACAGGAATTAGAAGCAACATTCAGAGAGGCTGGTTGGGAGCCTGGTTGCTGGTGGAGCGTTCTCTGTTCCTTTAAAACCACATAGCAACATGTGTGGGTGACCAGCCCAGTGGACGGGGACCACCAGTGAGGAACGGAGACATCCAACAGCACAGAGCCAAAGGGAGGGGGAGAAGTGACGAGTGAGCTGATTCAAGAAAGAGCCACAGTCACGGTGACCTTGCCAAGGCGACCCTCCAGCCCTGAGCGGATCCTCCATAAGGCTTCCTCCATGACACCGGCCCAGGTGGCGGCTGGTAGCCAGAACACTCCGGCCTCCAGAACTGTGCACCAGCTCAGGGACTCCAGCTCAGGGACCTGTGATCCAGCTGTGACTCCACCTGCCTCAGTGTACAGATGTGAAACAGCAGGCAAGAGTGACCACCCCAAGGTGATTCTGCCTCCTGGGTCCAGGACTCAGGGTGGCTGCTGAAACCTCACCCAAAACTGCAAAGGAGCAGCCCCTTGAGGTCACTTGGGCCACCTGCTGGGGGGGCACTGGAGCTGTCCCATCCAAAGACCCCACACTCTGAAAGGGCAAGCTCCAGACAGAGGGCGTCTGGCGCAGCAGGGCCAGGCCTCCAGCACTCAGTGCTCCTTGCGTCCAACGTGCAGTGGGATTCTCGGGGTTCCAGCTACTGCTATCTAAAACCAACCTGGTATCTGTTACCTGCCAAGCTCCCTATCACCAGAGACATCCCAATAGAGCAAAGGCAAAGGTGGACTCTCTGAAGCCCTCGTACACCAAGAGTCCACAAAACCCATTTCTGAAGAAGCAATCTTCCACCTTGTCCACCTCACGTGCTGCTGTCACCCTTCAAGACTGACTGAAAGTCTTCTTTCCCCGTGTCCCGGCCCCACCTGTGATAACGGGACAGGGCCTGAGCCAGGATCAGGGCATGGGGAGCACAGCACGGGCCCGGCCTGCGCCAACACAGACTCAGGGCCTCAACTTCAGCCCCTGCAGGCAGCATCCAGCTCCCCATGAGTCCACAGAGCAGCTGGACCTGAGACAGGACTTTCCTCCGCTCACAGCCCTTCCAGAGATGCAGGCCTCCCAGTCACCAAACTTCACCAATGCCCAAAACTGACACCCACTCCCCAGAGCTGGAGCACGTCTACAGCCAGACATGCATGTGTGAGCGTGCACACACGCACATAAACACACACATAGCGAAGGGTGCTGTAGGACTGGATTAGCCTGGTGTGGGACAACTGGCTATTTCACACTGCAGAGAAAGCAAGAAATCTCTCCTTAAAGTGCTGCAGGAACACAGGGGGCTCTGTTCACAGATCTGGGACAGAGAAGACTGCTAACAGGAAGCTGGCAGAGAAAAAGTGTTCGGCCCTGGAGTGGTGGTGGGTGGCAGCAGACTGCAGCCGAGCTAAATGGTAAAGAAGCCTGCAGGAGACAGAGCTGCCAGAGCCGGCCTGAGAGCCAGGCAGGGCTTCCTGGTGGGGACAGCATTCCTCAGCACCCCTCTACATCTGCATTCCAGGCACTTAGCTGGGATCTGCAGTCTTCCCAGGCACAGGCGGTTGCCAGGGGACCTGCAGAGCTGTGCTGGGAAGAATTAAGGGTGAGGGGCAGACACTAAATGAAGAAATGGCCAGCTCCCTCCTTAAGACATCTGCCAGATCCTGAGCAATGGTATGAGGTACAAGGGGCAGAATTCTAGATGCCAAGCAGAAGCCTCTGAAAGCCCGTGGGGTCTCACAGTCATCAGCTGCAACAGAACCCAGACAGGGGTTCAGGGCCCTCCAGAAAAACACCAAACGCACAGACTGTGACCTGGGACTGGATCTGCAAGACCTACCAGTGATCAAATATTCACTTTAAAATACTCATGGCTACTAGGTTCAAAATACAAGAAAAAATAACTGGGAAAATATATGGAAAAATGGAGAATTTTGCCAGAGAAACCAGTAGCTATAAAAGAATCCAATGGAAATTCTAGAACTGAAAAACACATGACAACTGAAATTGAAAATGAAGAGATTAGATAGAGTTGAAGGTAAAGTGAAGGAAAAAGAACTTAAATGGAGAGAGGGCTGGCATGTAGTTTAGCATGCATAAGGCTCTGGATTCAAACCCCACCACTGCAAAAACAAAAAATAAGCTGAGAAAAAAAATAATGGAAAATAGAGAAATAAGAGTCAGAGAAAAAAGGGACACAGTGAAGGTCTAACTGCCCATCTCTGAGACTCAAAATGGAAAGAAATGGGATGGGAATCTGTCTCTGTTCTTCCCAAATCCCCACCCCACAGCCGTGGTACTGGGAGACAGGATCCCCGCAGGTGAGTGGCCAGGAGGGTGGAGCCCTTGTGACTGGGACGAGTGTCCTTCCACAAGAGGACCCGGCAGGAAAATGCCACTGTGACCAGATGCTGAGCCTGCCTGGGCCTTGACCACAGCCAGAACTGTGTGAGAGAGAAGTCGGTGCTTTAAAAGACCCCAGCCTGCGGCATTTTAAAAAGCAGCCTGAGTGGACCATGGCAGCACAGCGGCAGTATTTTAAGAGAATGACATGACCTGTTTCAAGTGCTGGATTATATCAACGCACCAGATTCAAGAGGCCCTGCAAACACCACACAGGCTAAACATAAAACCGCACCAAGGATGCTCATCACTAAGGCTGCTGAAAACCACAGGTGCAAGAAACCATGGAAATAAACACACCCTCTAGGGGAGCAAAGCAAGACAGACCACTGACTTCTCAACAGAAATGATGAAGCCAAGAGATGAGCACCCACCTACCTGACAGTCAGGGATGTGCTGGTAAATGCTATGGTAACCACTCAGAGGGAGAGAAGTCATGAACAATTAGCAAGCTAATAGAAGGGAAAGTCCAAGAAACGAAAATATCTTTTATTATTCCAATAGGTGGCAACAAAGAAGAAATAGAGTGCGGAAAACAAAGATTATACGTAAAAGTCCAACTCAATACAACTACATCCTCCAAGAAAAGTATTACAATTGTCAGACTAGATCTTTTTGTTTCAAGTCTTATTTATTGAATTAATTTTAACTGACACATAAAACATAAACAGCATACATATTAATAGGTAATGTGATATTTGATTAATTATGCAGTGTTTAAACGAAGTTAAATTTATGAAGTGTTATCGAAATTATGGTGTGTATTTAAAAGTTATTATAGTAAAAGAAATATTTCCACTAATCCCTCTTTAAGTCCTTCCCCTTGCTTGGAACACATTTATCCCACTCTTCTTGCCACTTTCTGAAGCAGTTCTGCAAATGCTCTTCCTAGAATTGCACTGTCATGGCTGCCTGAACATCCTGAATGGATTCAAAATGTTTCCCTGTTGTGGTCATTTTGACAATGGGGAGGAGCCAAAAGTTGCACTGTGCCAGGTCCAGTGGATAAGGTGGACCAGGAAATAGCGTCGTTTTTATGAGCCTGCCTTTCCACTGGGTGGCATTTGGCAGCAGCATTCACTATATCTTTGACCACACCTCCTGAAGACACTCATGAAAGAGGACTCCAGAACTGCTTCAGAGTGGCAACAATGATGGGATGAGCGTATGCAAAGGGAGGAGAAAGATTGTGAAGATTAATGGCAATGCATATTTTAAATTTTTTAACCTAAAAGTTCACTGGGTGTCTCAATCACTTCTTGTATCTTCTCCAACATTTATCATTTATGGCAAAAATTTTCAAAATACTTTCTTCTAGCTATTTGAAACATACGGTATGATTAGCTAGACTCACCCTACTACACAGGAGCACAACACACTTGCTTCTGACTATAATTCAGTACTCATTTATCTATTTCCCCACCCTTCACCTCAGCCTTGGTAACCATCCTTTTACTCTCAATTTCTACGAAATAAATTCCAGGTTCCAAAAAAAGTGAGAACACTTGTTATCTTTTGTTTTTCTGATAACAGTCTTAATGGGATGAGCAGATGTCTCATCATGGTATCAATTAGTGTCTCTCTGATGATCAGCAATACTGAATATTTGTGTCTTTGTTTCTGTTGTTTTTTGTATACCTGCTGACCATGTACACGTTCTCTTTTTGAGAAATGTCTATTACCCATTTTGATTGGGCTGTTGGTGTTTTGCTACTAAGTTCTTAGAGTCCCTCATATATTCTTCATATCAATCCTCTGTCAGATGTAGAGCTTGCAGATATTTTCTCCCATTCTGTAGGTTGTCTGTTCACTCGCTATTTCTTTTGCTGTGTGGATCACACATATATATATAAATTGAATTTTGGAAAACTTTAACGGTGCTGCCAACTTTGGAAAAAGTCATCCCAATTTACTGTGTTGACTTGGCATTGTACAGAAATGGACAACCATATTGGTCTAGAAATGTTAATTTATTTTATTTTATTTTTTTTCCATGTGTACAGGGGTAACACATCGTACTAAATATGTAAGGTCATATCTACGTGGGTTTGATTACAGAAACTAATAAAGTATTCTCTAAATAATGAAAAAAGAATAAGATAAGACTATAAGAGCTAGAAGCAATTTAAATATGTTCAGGGACCATTTTCATCTCCAGAATTAAGGATTATTTTGATGTTACATCATTGCCTTTTCTCTTTTACTTTCCTTTTTAGTTTTATTTTAGGATTCCCTCTTTTTAATGTTCATACAGAGATTTATTTAACTGAAATACCGAATAGTTTCTTTGGTGTGAAAAACTAATAGTACACAGGATCCTAATGAGACAATTAATAATGTGAAATAGGAAGTAAAGGGCTAAAGGTGTAAGGAAAGTGGGAAGGGTGGGGGAAAGGTAATAAGGGAGAGGAAAAAAATATGAGAACCTGAAAAAATGGAAATAAAGTGTTTGTAAATGGGGAGGGGAGGAGGGGGTGAAGGGAGGGTAGGGACAAGGGGAAAAATGAGAATCAAGACCTACTATGTAAAGGTACAGAGTCCCAATGATGAATGTAACTGTATTTG